AAGTTACGTAAAAATCATGTGTGACGAAATTGTTCCCCTCTAAAAGTTCTAAAGAAAAGTCCCCGACAGCATATGCCTATCTTTTAAGGTCGATTCAGTATAATCATTTTTATGGTAATGAAATTTGTTCTAAAATAATAATGCATTATGTATAAAATTCTCGCGTCACAGTGTTTGTAACCGAACTCCTCCGAAACGGGTTGACCGATTTGTATGAAATTTTTTACTTATATTCGGTAGGTCTGAGAATAGGTTGTAAACTATTTTTTATACCCCTAAGTGGTAAGGGTGGCCCACCCTAAAAAATTTGTGTCTATTTTTTGGACAAAATTTTTTATTTTTTAAGATTTGGCATCAAAAAATACACATAACCCTAAATTTTCACCTTTCTACCACCGACCCCCATTTTTTAATCGTCTGTATAAAATCAATTGCTGTTCCTGTTAGTCTCGCTAAGACTCAAAAACGGTTTGACCGATTTGAAGAATTTTTTATATTATGGGGATGGTTCATAAATAAAAAAATAGGGAAAACTTAAAAGAACAGCTAAAAAATAAAAAAATTCTAAAAGTTTTGTATGGGAATCGCCACTTCGAATTAATTTCAATAGTTGGCGTTCCTGACGGAACTGTCGTCTAACTGACGTGTCATACAAAACTAATTCTTCCGTGCGATTGTGAAAAGTATATTGCATTTCAAATCGTTCTTTGTTTTTTCGTAAAAAAAAAACGTTTATTTTAAGAAAAGTCTTGGTTAAAGTAAATTTAGTTACACATTGCGAAAGTTCTTTATTAATGTTGATCTGCCATTCTATTTACCTATATTCACTTTGTTGGTTCCGACAAAACCTCAAACTTTACCGTTATTCGATGATTTAATTTGAAGTTTTCAATATTTTAAAATTTTCAAGACAAAATTTACAGATTTGATTGACCGTGAAAATAATTTTGTGTCGTTTTATGAAGTTCATTACAATGCCGAGAAGACGACAAGCTCACATTGGTCCACAAAATCAATTCGCAATGATTTATTTCATGGGTAATTCGGATATGGAAGTTGATCAGCGTTGTGCTCATAATCAACATAATCAAACATTGAAGTGGGACATTGGGTGGTATGAATAAAACTGAATAGATACTCATATTCAAAGTACGAAGTACCTCTACTTCATTATTACGCTTATGTACCTGAGCATCTACTCTATGTAATGAGTGCCTACTTGGAAACATTGTATCTTCCCGGATACAAATTGAACATCTACGCGTTTTGTGAGCATTTAATCTAAAATTGAGCATCGGCGTGGCAAATGACTGAGCTGTCTGTAAAGCAGCTTAGAAAACTAGTAGGATCATTGTAAGAGTGAATTTTAACTAAACATGGCGGCTTTCATGAACGTGGAACGTCGTCAAAAGGTGCATTCAGTTTGAAAAACACATTGGGAGCGGGAATATCGAAAACTTTTCAGGTAATTAACTTTTATTTATGCATAAATCGTGCAGTGCGTTTTTTCCAACACTTGCCATAAAGATTCCCATCTCAAACTGTCTACCCCATACTAACTTATATTTTGATGACTCGATTTTTGTCTTGATGGTTAAACACTGTCACTGTTTTCCTTTTTTGTTGTATCGAGATGCTACTTATTCTTTAAATCTGGCAATAAGCAAGACATTGAAAACTATCGACCGATTAGTATAATTTCAGTTCTATCGAAAATCTTTGAAAACATTGTGTCCAGTTTCATAAGTGATTCTTTTAGAAACGTAATCAGTGTGTCACAACATGGTTTTTGTTCTGGTAGATCAACTGAATCTAATCTCTTTGTATACATAAATGATATTTTTAATGCAATTGAGGACGGTTCGGAAATTCACTGCATCTACACAGACTTCCACAAGGCGTTTGATTCTGTTGATCACACCATTTTGATACACAAACTTCTACTCTACGGCGTTCGTGATCCTTTACTTTCATGGATTCAATCTTATATCAGTCATCGTCTACATTTTGTACAATTAATGAAGTTCAAGTCATCTACCTACGAATCAACATCTGGAGTTCCTCAAGGCTCGGTTATAGGACCACTTTTATTTAATATCTTCATTAACGATATCTGCTTGAATTTCAACTCAAATTCCTTACTGTATGCAGATGACTTGAAGTTATATAAGAAGATTGATTCCATGTATGACATAAATACTTTGACAAATGATCTTATATGTCTTAACGATTGGTGTAAACTCAATCATATGTCTCTTAACATTAAAAAATGCAAAGCAATGTGCTTTAGTCGCAAAAGTCGTCCCTCAGTTCCATTGTACCTACTAGAAAATACGCCCCTAGACATAGTTAGCAATGCCAAGGATTTGGGTATCTATTTAGACACTAAATTATCTTTCGTCAGTCACTGTGAATATGTTGTTTCTAGAGGTAGAAAACTTTTGGGGTGTTTAAAGCGGTGGACGGTGAACTTCAGCAACATCAGAACCATTCTGATATTATACTATTCGTTAGTCCGATCGATATTGGAATTCAATTGTGTCAACTGGTCACCGTTTTATATCACTCACATAAGCCGAATTGAAGCTGTCCAAGTCAAACTTTTAAAATATGTCAAATATAAGTTGTGTGGTGATGGTATTGTGTTAGCAGATACAGACCTTGTTGCATCTTATCTGTCAGTACATACACTAGAAAATCGCCGTAAGTATCACAAACTATGTTTTCTTTTTAAATTATTAAATGGTTTAATTGAAGCCCCCATATTGCTAGCGTTGGTAGGTCTTAATGTGTCAATCCGTAAGGTTCGTACGCCTAGGCTGTTTTTTATACCAGTTCATAAAACGAATTATGCATTACATTCGCCTCTAAATAGCGTTTTGATGATTGCTAACGAATGCAACACTTTAGAGTTTTTTGGTATCTCCCTCAACGCCTTCAAGAAAGAATGTCGCAAATTGTTACTATTATGTTAATATGAATTGTTATGTTAATATTTTGTTATGTACTTTATGTAATGCCTTTACATCTTTCGGCGTAATAAAGCACTATTATTATTATTATTATTATTATTATTACTTGAGCATCAACTGTTACCTACTGAAGTATTAGCATCATCTAGAAAAACTAGAAATATTTTGATTTGATATGCGAGTAGATACTTCGTATTTCGCGTATGAGCATCTACTGAGTTTTATTTATATCAACCATTGTCAGAAAATTGATCGAACGTTGTTTCGACAGAACTTCCCTCGCACCAAAAGTATAATGAAACATATTCAACATTTTCGAGTTGAGTCTTTTCACACAAATTTGTGATGACCTAATCAACATTTACGATCAACACGTATACCACCTTGGATTGGTGAAGTGTAATACTAAAAATAACTGTATTGTATTCCCAAAATTATCTGCGAAAATCGAGTGAGCCATTCCATCAATTTTTTGGGGGGAATAAATAAATCTTCTTAGCAATTTATCATGCTTACAATAACTTTAAAACGTCTGCAAGATCTCAAATTATTCATTTCTGTAACTTTTGAGTTATTCACTAAAATAAATTGACTGATCCAAATATTTTTTTGAGTCACTGTTAAAGCAAATCTAAAAAATATGTATGCAATGATAAATTACGAAAATATACTGATGATATTTTGCACATTTTAGATACGATTTATTCGGCAAAATCTTGAGATGACGTCATCAGGTTTTTGGGCTTGATAAACATATATATTTTGATTAAAAACGTACCATGTCAAACAGTAACTTCAAAACGTCTGCAATATTTCAAAACTCAGTTTTGCAATTCTTGATTCAATCAATAAAATAAATTGACTCAGTGATTAATTTTTTTGAGACACCCCCTATAAGCAAAACTAAAAAATATGAATGGACATTTTAAGTAGGATTCATTTGTCAAAATTTTGGGCTGACATCATCAATTTTTTGGAGGGGATAAGTATAATATATTTTGAATAAAAATTTATTATGCTTATCATATGGTTAAAACATCTGCAAGATTTCAAAGCATTCGGTTTTGCAGATTCAAAATTAAATTGTAGGTGAAACGAAGTTCACGGGGTCGGCTAGTTTAATAATATTTCTCTAATTTTTAGTTTATTTTAATAATGGGAATAGCCGGTGCTTGTCGTACTAATGAACTCCACTACATGAAGGTGATTGATATTAAGGATCTGAATACAGATTTTTTGGTGACTGTGCCAGTCATTAAAATAAAAACTCCAAGAACATTTACGGTGACTGGGGAGTTCCATGAAGTTGTAAAAAAATATTGGAATCTTCAACCTGCCAACGTTCTTAAGGACTTTTTTTATGAACTTTCAAAAAGGTAAATGTACCTGCCAAAGAATTGGAGTAAACAAATTTGCCGGAATGGGCCAACAATTTGCAAAATTTCTAAAATTACCAGAAGCGGAAAGATATACTTGTCACAGTTTTCGCAGATCCAACGCCACCTTGGTGGTCGACGGTAGCACAAGTGTGTATTACCGCATTAAAAAGGGGGTTGGAAGTCAAGCTCCGTCGCAGAGGACGACATTGGCGACTCCTTGAAGAACAACGTAGATTGTGCACATAAGATTCATTATGCTATTTAGCAGCCTTCTAGCACGAATATTACTTCAAACACCAATTCTAGTACTAGTACAAGTAAAAATTTAAATTTTGATGTAAATTCAGCTCCCTTTTGCATTATTAATCATGGAACTTTAAATGTACATATTTATAAATCAATAGAAAAATTACTAAATTTTTGCGTTCATATGATTGGAAAAAGTACAGTGTTATACTCGCCGTTGTCTCGTTTCGTAAATTTTCATCTCGTGAAAAATGAGCAATTTTCTCACTCGTGTAACAACGTAGGTACATACTATTTCTTTATTGATGTGTTCTTTTGCCATTTGCGGACAGTCCCCTATCAGTTTGTTTTGTTCTAGTCGTAAAAGAAAATAAAAACCAATTTAATTAAAGATTTTAAAAAATGAAGTTTAGTCTAATGTTTAATAACAAAGAACAATCTATTTCAGTATGTGTACACATTAAATCATTATCTACATATTTACAATATAGGTACAGATTGATAACATTTTTTAGATACATAGGTTTATCGAAGTCCTTGGTTGGAGTAATCACCCTTACATTACTAGTAATTAACTTATAAACTACAATACTTGTATTATATTTCCGTTATAAAGTAAAAATATCCCTCACATATCATGATACTTTTTTTAATAAACCAACAAAACTATGATTAAGTAAGAAAATACGACAAGGTTGCAGTCCGTCTTCGGTATTTTTGCTCCATTTCAGATTTTTACACTTTCTATCAACAACTATTCCCAAAAGAAAAGCAGCTTCAATTACGTGCTTTGGTTTTGTTAAGTGTTTTTTCACCTGTGTACCAATTGTCAAGAAGAAACAAAGTTTCGTAGTTCCTACGCTTGTAGCATCTTCAGTATTTGGTCACAATAAATTTCCCGCTTCCTCTCTGAATCAAACTTTGTCAGTTTGTCAAAAGAGTATCTTTTTGGGAAATCGTTGTGAAATGTTTAAAACACTATGAACAAATTTAAATCACAACCAGGACTTGGTACAAAATGTTCATTTTTGTAATGCAAACCCAGTGAATCTATATAGTGATAAAAATATTCGACAATGGAAAACAGCCTTGACGTCGTTTTTTGCTAATTCTGAGAACAAGTACTTAGCTGAAAGGTATCATGGCACTTTACATTTTAAAATTTGTAAATATTTTGTGCTCGAAGCGCCGAACAGATGCAAATACAAAAACGCGTCTTGAATGTGTGAATAACGAATCTAGCGCTGACATTTGTTAGACATGAATGCTGCATCCGTTGAGCGATCTTGACAAAAAAAGACACACACAGTCGAAATAAATTACACATTGGAGCAACCATTTACAACAGTAGTTGCAAATAATAAAGTTATTATGAAACTCACATTAGAACTAGAATTAATTGTGCGATGGAAAACAATCTCAGTCAAAGTGAATGTGTTATTAATATGTTAAATGATTTTACCTGTGAACGGTTTGGCCATATAAATAACATGACTCTGATTAAGATGATTTTCTATCGCACCATACTGTTTTCTATGCACTGATTTCGGAATGTATGGACAATTTGTAGCCACTACGATGACAAGATGAAGTTCCTGCTGATGGTGCAGGAATTACGACTAAATTCTCTGGTTTGGAATTCATTTAGCGTAAGTTTTGCTGTAATTTTAAATATTTTGTGATACTGTGAATTTTAAAGTTGTAAAAGTTACCTTAAAACCCTCTTCTGTTGATATTGTCCATGTCAGTTAGCGGTATTAAACCCATTTGTTAAAACTTGAGGATAGAAACTTGATTCCGCCTAAGATATATTTTATGAAGATACGAAATTACAACACCAGTTGCTGTTTTTAAATTCGCTGTTCTGGTGGCCAGGAAAAGTCTATAATGCAAAATGTTATAAAAAAAAAGGAAGTAAGAAAAATTTACGTCTTTTAAATTGATTGATATTATATGTTATTTTATAAAGTTTTCCAGAATACATTTGGAAGTGGAAGTATTTTTCAAAACATTGTTCCAATATTATTAGTTCTTGAGGAATAACAGAAGTTTTGGTTCCAATTTTTCTAAAAGTTATGGAAACACCTGTACTGAAATGTTAAATCAAATTTATAAAGTTAATTTCAAAATATTTTTACTTACCTTAGTTTATGTGTTTTGTTTGTATTTTTTTAAAGTTTGATAGTAGGACGTATGCCAGTTTTTGCTGCCTTTATCTTCGTATTGTTGTGAAAGCCTCACGAAAAACACTTGTACTGAAATTTCATAGTTACATAACGCCAAATATATTTAGATGATGACTTACCTAAAGTAAAAGTTGAAGCTTAGCTGAGTTTGGCCGAAAATATAGTTGAAAAATTTTCATAAAAAAATTGACTCACTGAGTTTGCATTTAAGTATGTGGTCGTCAATTAATTCAAATTTGGAACACTATCAAAATAATTTATCAAAAGTTGAAATTTTGTGTGAATAGAATTAAATAAATTTGATGAAAGTTAAAAAATCCGAAAGTGCACTTCAGAAAAAATTATAAAAAAAATATTTACAAAAGAAGTCGTCGTGGTGAATGAGTTTATTTAACTGAAATACGTAACCATAAAGAGAGTGACTTAGGTATTTAGCTTGTAGCTATCTTTTCCATCTATGTCAAAATTTTGTGAATCTCAAAAATAAGTCCAAATAGATAAATAAATAAATTAATAAACACAATACAAATCTTCATATCTGAAGACAGATGAAGGATATAGGTATATATGTAGAAAGATGTCCATCATAAAATGGTGTTTTACTCTTGATTTTCGTTTTTCGTCAATTGTGTTCCATTAATTGTCAAATATGTATATATGTATATATATTTTACTTTTTGTCAAAACAATTTCGATAGGTTGATGAAGACTGTGTTTAACTCTTAAGGATATTAAAATTAAATTGTTAGAGGAAAATTCTCAACTAGAAATAAGTTTATCTACCATAGACAGAGCTATCAAGTACTTTCACTAGTCCTTTTTTTTATTGATGAATTTGTAACATAGATACGTTCTGGAAGGTGGTACAAAAGATTATCAAGTAACTGTAGCGCAAACAAAGTTAAAGGTCAGCCGAGAGGTCGTAATTACTCGATTGCGAGTTTTTAAAAACCCTATTGAATCACTTACAAAATCACTTACTTAAATCACTTAGGGGCGCACGGACATATTTTAATGAACAATGATTCTGAGGCAATAACGCAAGAACATTGCGAAAATTATGTGCGGCATATGGAGATATATTTGGGGGATCAGCAGAAATGAAATTTTGAATTTAAATAGTTTGTAATAGGTACCTACTTCACGATCATAGATAGAGATACATTTACTAAAATATATTACTTATGCTTGGAGCTTTGTAGCTAAAATAAAAAATATTTATTAGAAGTTTAGAACAGAGGAAAAGTATGTATTTTCCAGAAATAGAAAGAATTTTGATATAGGGAATTTCTTTTGGCATATGATATCAAAATTGCAAATACGGAAAAAAATGTATCAAATAGTGAAACATACTAGACAAATCATGAAAACCAAAAGAAAAACACCGTATTACGAAAAAATAATGTAGAATCAAATTTTAATTTTAATGAAATTGGGTAAAAATTGGTCCAAGGTATCAGACAGAACGTTTTTTACTCCTGAAATACGGTCCAACAAATTCAGTTTTTTATTGAATTGTATTTTTTAATCATAAATCCTATAATTAAAGTAATAATATCTCTCAAATGTTAAGGTAACATTGTTTTTTAATAGAGAGAGCAAAATCCTGACAATAATAATAATAATAATCGGTTTATTTCCAACAGGTGATATTCATCTAATTACAGGAAAAACTAAAAATTACATAAATGTAGGTATAACTTAATAATATTTTTAATTTAAGTAGGATACAATAATAAAAATAAAAATAAATAAAAAGAACTAAATATTAAGAAATTCTGTGATTATGTGAAAAAAAAAGATCAGTTATATTTCAATAAATGAAACAACAGCCGTTGAAATTGCAGCTATGGAGTTAGAGTAAATATCGCACACACAATTTATGTTATTAGCTATATCGGAAATTAATGCCACTGGTGACCTAACTAAGACATTAGTTCTTTTACAGATACAATAAAACATATTCGAATTTCTTGAGTTTAAACGAGGAACCAAAAAGTTTAATTTATGCAGAAAATACGGGCAGTCGATCCGAAAATGAACTAGGTTATACAAAAAACGAAGAACGCTAACAACACGCCTAGTATGCAGCGTGGTTAGATTGAATCTTGCTAACAGAGCAGTGTGATCAAAGCCTCAAGGAGGATAGCACCGTCAATCAAGTAACATATGAATTTCAAATACTTTCTCTGTAGTATTTCCAAATGATTCACATGAATGTTGTATGTGGGATACCAAACCATTATGCCGTACTCCAGTTTGGACCTTATAAGCGAGCAAAAGAGAAGGATTAAATCCGATATATCAGAGAAATCTTTACAATTTCTATAAATGAAACCATAAATAAGATTTGGCTAAGATATCTGTTGTATGATCGACGAAGTAAAATTTTTGGTCAAATAAAGTACAAAGATCTTTGAATGAATAAACACGATTTACGGGCACCGCATTCAAGACATAATTATGCTGATAAACATCTTTTTTTTTTGTGAAAGACATAACGTTACATTTGGATATATTAAGTGTTAAACGATTTTCCTTGCACCATTCCAATAATTGATTTAGATCACTTTGCAGAGCTAAACAGTCACCAACTGATTTTATTTCAAAGAAGAGTTTCATATCATCAGCATATGATAACTTATCACAATGAATTTCGTCAACTATGTCATTAATAAATAAAAGGAACAAAAGCGGATCTAGGTTAGACCCTTGGGGCACACCGGAGGTAGGAGAGAAATTTGAAGAGTGAAAATTGCGGTATTTAACAAACTGAACTCTGTTAAATAAATAACATTCCAGAAGCGACAACAAGGACTGAGTGAAACCAAAATTATGTAACTTGTTTAAGAGAATGAAGTGGTCTATTTGGTCAAAAGCTTTTTGAAATTCGGAATAAATTACGTCCACTTGGCTATTACGATCTATTGCTTCGGACAAACTGACTGAAGTAGGCTAAATTTGTGACGGTAGATCGCTTTTCAACAAAACCGTGTTGTTCAGGTGATATTAAACTTTTGACTTGAAAATAAATACGCTTATGTATTATGCACTCTATAAGATTTTGGAAAGATTGCAAAGCAGAGCAATAGGTCTATAGTTCTGGACTAACTTTGGATCACCTTTTTTAAAGACAGGAGTGGGACTAGCCTGCTTCCAGGTATCTGGGAATTGAGATTTTTTTATAATTAAGTTAAATAATAAGAGCAAAGGTTTAACAAAAGCGTAAGCACAATCCTTCAAAATTAAACTTATGATAATATATATATATATATAATAATAATAATAATAAGAGTACTGCATTCTCAAATTTACGGAATTATAGGGTGAACCGTCCCTGATTTGATCAACAAAATAATAGAAAAAAATGAGGCGGCGGATGGTAATAGAATGTTGAAAGTCTGGCCGGCGCGGAGGAGTTTTGGATCGCCGTTGAACTAATCATTCGACAGATTTTTTTTGGTGACTATTCATCATTATTCATTTTAATAAACGAAACTTTTTGCTCCACATTTTACTAGGTATTCGACAATTTTTTTGTGACCTCTCGAGGAAGCTGCGTAAAGCGGTGTCCAACCATAAATATCATCAGCACGATTGATTTCGGCTCCGCATTTCACCAGGCATTCAAAAATATGTTCGTGCCCTTTCAAGGAAGCTGAGTAAAGCGGTGTAGAACCATATTTGTTATCGCGATTGATTTCGGCTCCGCATTTCACCAGGCATTTGACAATTTTTTCGTGATCTTTCGAGGAAGCCGCGTAAAGCGGTGCCCGACCATATTTATCAATGCGATTGATTTCGGCTCTGCATTTGACCAAATATTCTACAACTATTACGTGTCCCGCTTGAGAAGCTATTGTTTCGGCTCAAAGACCAATGTTCCGGCTTGAAGTGCCAATGTTTCGTACAACCCGAATCGTAGTACCAACGTTTTTTGTAATCCGGTTGATACGACCATGTATGGTCTTCCGAATTGTACCTTGATATTGCTCGAAGGACCTTTGTTTGCTATAATTGAAATAATGGACAGCGTTCGGTTTTGATGTTTAATGTAGGACGGTTACAGAAGTACTAAAATTACAGAGCTATTTACAAAAACAGGTAAAGATACCCAAAAGGGTCAGTGGCCGCTTCCGGAAATGCAACACTAACGATGAATACTGGTTCACAAGAAAATGCTGAATTCAGTTTAGCTTGGCAGAAAGTACAGTTCAAGGAAGATTAATAACAATTCCCTAATTTTAATGATAAATATGTCTTTGAAATCATCGAAATTAGAACCTTATGATTGTGATAGGAAATAACAAACAGTGTTTGACCGACGTTTCGTAATTTATTAGCGCTTCATTAGGGTCTCACCTCCGTTATAAATTTCATTTCGAGTACATTGCAGGCATCCGTTAGGTAATCATTTTTCGAAAAAGCTGGATATGTTTTATTGTTATTGTGACCAATTTTTACTTTCTGAGCGTAAGCTATGGCAGTGTAGTGTCCGAGTGCATAGGACGAATGGCCACTTTTATGGTAGACACGTAGTCTCCGAAACTACTGGACCGATTCAACAATCGCCAACGCAAATTTTGTATGTATATTAGAAATATGTGGAAAATGTGGATGGTAAATTCCTAACCAATACAATTGTATTTGAAAATGATTTAAATGTTATACAGTAATATACTCCTAAACGTATGGTGAACGAATCCGCTTTGAATTTTTTTCTTAAACGTACAGATGTTCCTAAAACAGTAACAGAGTACACAGCACAGCATTATAACATAACAGTTTACCGTTAGCGTAGGATATTCCAACTGTCGCTCAGTGGGTTACATAAACTAAAAACTCGAAACGCGGACTGACAGTAAGTTGCACATTTGATGCCAAACCATTATCTATGCTTATGACAACATAACAAATTTTTTATTGATCAAATTAAGAACGAGTCACCTTGTTTTCTTGAAAAGAGGAGAATACGCACGTCGAATGTATACGAATTAAGTATTTAATACTTAAAATAAAGTATGTTTAGAATTATGGTCAGAAATTTTTCATGATTTTCAAAACACTTTAGTGGTGGTTCCGACGGTTGATCGAGAAGAAGTTGAAGATAAACAGAAACTTTGCAGTTAGTAACTGTTATCGCTTCCTATGCAAGATAAAAATCAACCTTTTTTTTGGAGGTGGAGGTGAAAAAGATATTATTTTTTCTTTCTCTGATAATCGTCTAAGGGAATTGTAATAACCTTTCACCATTTTCCCTAAGAAAATTTTGGAGTCTAGTCTATTGTCATGGATTTTAGCTGTACTGTCTCAAACTGTGGGAGCGTCCAGGTTGAAAAATAAAACAGAATAATAACAGTGTTTTTACTAACATTATCGAATCATTTATAAAGACTAAGAAATATTTTCTTATGTCGATGGATGCCGTTGTACGTTTGATATTTCTAAAAGTTCATTCACGGTTAATTTTGCTATTTCTTGCTGAAAAATATTAAAATTTTGTTGCACTTTTTGATACAGTTCAGGCTTTCCCTCTAACTGCGATAATTTCTCAAATACCGAAAGATCTTTCATCCATTCTTTCCATTTTCCGTCACCAAGTAAAATAAATTTTCCATCCCTACACAGCTGAACAGCTTTTCCAATAGTGTTGTATTCTTTTACTATTAGTGGACATTTCTCCGCCAGCCAAAGCAATTGTGTTATCGATTTTGCATCCATATCCTCTAAACTGCTTATATAATCAAAAAAAACAGAAAAACGTGAATGCGCTTTATCTAAGTCCTCCAGATGAATGTTTTTTTTCCAATTGGCCCACAATGTTGTAGCTAGTTTACTGTTTTCTTCTTTCAACAACGTAATGGCGAACACACGAATAGCCTCTCGAAGGGTTGCCATTTTGTCTGTGACTTGACCATTAGATGCATGAGGTTCGACCTGAGAAGACAGCAGACAAAGTGCAATCGCACGTTGCGTCATTTCTTTGCTTAGTTTTTCTTTCTTTCCTGCTCTTATACTCCAGCTTGAAATGACACTAACGTATTGTTTGAAAGTGGCTTCGTTAGAACAAAAAATCTTAATAAACCTTTCCATTGTTGATTTTTTAAGAGTTTCCAAATCTTCTTGGTCTGTATAGAAATAAAATTGTTTCAAGAATGTTTGATATTGCTGAATTGTTTGAGGATTTTGTTCAGTCGATTTCTCTTCTATAATTTTAAATTTATAATAATAATTTATATCTTCAGAAATTTTCAAAGTGTCGAGGATATCTTCTGACATCGATACTTTGATCGGTTTCAAGCAAAAATTTTCCCCTTGGGGTTTAAATTCATCTTCGTTAATATTATTGTTGGTAAATAATATAAATACGTCTGCTTTGTCCTTTGTCTCTTGGAAAGAATTGAAATATTTGGTTAAGTTGTAGTCTTTACTTTTTTCTAAGTTCTTTTTTGTTATGTACTTTTTTTTATTGCCATGTTTTAATTGGAGTGCTTTTATTTCGATTCCCCGATCTGTCTCCATTTCGACAACTACGTCGTCGAAATCACCAAAAGTTTCATTATTCGACGAAATACGGAAGTCTTTTATTTTATTGTCGCTTATCAATTGTAGTGCGATGTTGGCGGTAACAAGAACTTCGTATTCTATACCCAGATTTGTGGTTCCACGTCTTTTTTGAAAAATCTGAAACAAAATCAACACGTGAATGAATAGAGCAAAGCTAACGGGTGTACAATATTATGAAACTAAGTAGGCAACCGAATACCATTACTACTACCTAACTTGTGATTCAGTTGACAGGTAGTTGACACTTGACTTGACACCATTTCTTAAACTTACGTATCAATTTCTCGTGGTTTATTGTTACTTAATCTTTTGCTTTATTTTTGTGATAAAAGTCAGTTTTTTCAGAATTTTTATGTATGTTTTGCTGATTACTGATTACCTTATTTTTTACCAAAAATGGGTTCTCTGAACAACAGAACGTATTCATGGTAATATGTTGCTATCGAAACGACTTAAAAGTAAATAGAACTGGGCAATATTCAATTAAATGGATTATGTATGAAAGAGTTTCGAGAAGAATTCCCTGACTTTGCCACAGACTATTCGTAGTTTTGACAGACTTTAAACGTTTGCTTAGAAAATTTCCAAGAAACTGGATTTATGGCACAAGAACCTGGAAGCGGCAGCAAAGAAGTGAAGTCCAGAACTTAGTGAAGAAGCGAACGAAGTAATGGCAGAAACCCCAGATCCTCCCATCCGTCATTTATCACACCAACCTCGTTTGTTTGTTGATGACTGTAATACGATTCTAAGACAAGATCTTCATTTGTTTTCCTATCGTCTCTCATCTGTACCTGCCTGAATTAGGTGCAATTGATTTTCCCCAGCATTCATAACTGTCGATCGTCTCTAAACCCTCTAGATTCGGATGACCATCTCGAAAAAACGCTTTTCAGTGATGAAATATACTTTCATCTTATAGTGGCTATGTAAAGTTACAAAACACAAGGATACGGACTTTGGAAAATCCACCCTAGCGTCCGGAATCCCCACAAACTCGGCGTTTGGGTTGCGATTAACCAACTCAGAATTACTGGCCCGTTTTTACTTCCCGAGCGTAAGCAAAGGAAGTATTGTAATCGAGTCCATCGGCCGACTCTATACTTTTACATTTTCTCGGCCTTTCATGACTCCTAGAAGACTAAGAAATAAGTCTTCTGTTTCCGTCTGTCTGTCTGTCTGTTTGTTTGCCTGCCATCCCGGATTTTTATTAGACAGATAATTTCCGAAAGTACTGGACTGATTATTGTGAAATTTTGTATTTACATTAGTAATATCATGTAGATGATAAAACGCTAACCAAAATTTTACTAATCATCCCTGCCAATAATGTGATGACGTCACAAAAAAATTGTATATAGTAAATGGGCTTTAAATTGTATAAAATAACATAGTCCTACACATGTAGTTTATGACTCCGAATTCAGTTTCTACCCGAAACGTCCACATTTAAAAAAATAAATAAATAAATAAAAATTATGAAACAACATTTTGCAATTTAATTTGGAATCTGCAAAACCGAATGCTTTGAAATCTTGCAGATGGTTTACAGTTATCATTAGCATGATAAATTTTTATTCAAAATATATTTACTTGTCCCCTCTAAAAAATTGATAACGTCACCTGAAAAGTTTGCCGAATAAATCCTATCTAAATTGGACAAAATATGATGAGTATGTACTTGTGATTTTTCATTCCAGTCATAGTTTTTTGATTTGCATATACAGGGTGACTCAAAAAAATTAATGAATGAGTGAATTTATTTATTTGATTAAATCAGGAACTACAAAATGCGAATGCCTTGAAATCTTGGAGATGTTTTACAGTTATCATAGACATGGTAAATTTTTAGCCAAAATGTATTTGCTCATCCCCCCCTAAAAAATTGATGACGTCATCTCAAAATTTTGCTGAATAAATTCTATCCCAAATGTGCAAAATATGATGAGCGTGTAGTTGTGATTTATCACTTTATTCATATTTTTTGGATTTGCATATACAGGGTGACTCAAAAAAATTAATGAATGCGTAAATTTATTTTATTGATTTAATCGGGAACTACAAAACCAAATGCTTTGAAATCTTAGAGAGAATATATTTGCTCATCCCCTCCTAAAAAAATTATCATGCCACACAAAATTTTTCCGAAAAAATGCTATCTTAAATGTGCATTTTGCAAAGTATGATGAGTCTATAATTGTGATTTATCACTCCATTAATATTTTTTAGATTTGCTTATACGGGGTGTGTGAAAAAAATTAATGACTGAGTCAATTTATTTTATTGATTAAATCAAGAATTACAAAACTGAATACTTTGAAATCTTGCAGACGTTTTAAAGTCATTGTAGGCACGGCAAATTGTTAATCAAAATAAATCTGTTTATTTCCCCCAAAAAATTAATGACGTTATCTCAAAATTTACTGAATAAATTTTACCTAAAATGAGCAAAATATGATGAGTTTTTACTTGTGATTCATCATAGCATTCATATTTTTTATTGATCAAATTAAGAACGAGTCGGAATATTTTTAAATGAGAAAACTCAGTAATACAAACAGGCATAGTCTTGTCCTTTATCAATGGATTCATATTTATATATGTGTGTTTTCGTAACATAATGTTGGAATGCTAAGCAATGACGAAGTATAGGTAGTTAAAGTACGATATATTAATGAATTCACAAAATTAAGCTCCACAAGAGTTTCTCAAAAATATATATAGCGTGTCATTAAAAATACGTGGGATGTCGTAGACAAACAAAAAAAATATACCGTGTCAAAACAAATGTATGGGATGTTATTTACCTGCTTCTACGATTACTGGTATTGCTTATCTATCTTTTTCATAATGTGTAAAGGTTATTTCAAATAAAAATTTGCACAATCAAATTTATTAATTTTTTAGGGAGCGACTATGTTGGACTATACCTCAGGGGTGAGGGAAGTCCTGCCGAATCAACCTTTGATTATTTTTGTGTACTAAAGTGTTGGATCTGACCTACACAACTACGTTTTAAACAACAGCTCTTCATCTTTAAAAATGAAGGTAGTACAGAAATCAGACACTTATTTTGGGACAAGGGGAGTATTGTTTTGTAGAGAATGTTACAAGCTTTATAATTTATTCCAAGTTCAACATTATTCTGCTAAATTAAAACAAAATGTTGAAAATAGCATCTAATGTTTTACGTTAAAGCTGGGTTTTAAATTTATCGAAATAACAAAATGTTTGTACTATTATACTGAACAACAACAAACCTTCACTAATAAACCACATGTGTAGATGTGCAATATTTTTATCACTATACGTCTATTAGAAGAGATGCCGTCATTATATCTTCGGAAGGAATGTTTCCAATTTAAAGTTTAAAATATGCACTATTTATTTCAATTAATAAAATGAAATAAATAGCATTTTTCTTCAAAAGTCAGAAACACGGGATCTTGCATACCTCAACTAATAAATACCAAGTCCCACTTCACTGGATTGAAAAAATTCTGCCTAGACTTCAAAAGTTTTTTGTTGCCGCTGAATCAACCAATGACATTTAAGCCTAGTCGTCGTATGTGTTGATGTTGATGTTTTTTCTGTCAATGTTTTGTGCTGCCAATGTCAATCACAGACAACTGTCAAATGTAAATTGTCAGAATTCAATCGGTCATAGTCGAGTTATAATAATACATAATTGTCACTCATATCATCTTCGAGCTTTGGCAGCTCTCTAATGTCAGCGTATGAGAAAAGTTGCCCCCTAAAGAAGGAAGGTCTGGGCAAAGGTACACCATGGTGGAACCGAAGGCTCAGCCTACTTCAATCAGGGCTAAGAAAACTTTTCAATAGAGCAAAAAACACTAAGAAAACTGAAGACTGGGAAGCCTATAAAGAGCACCGGAAAGAGTTTAAAAAAGAATTAAGAAAGAGGAAACGGGAAACGTGGAGATCCTTCTGCAGCGACATAACGTCGACTGCTTCGGCCGCAAGGCTGAAGAGAGTTCTCTCGAAGGACCACACACATCAACCAGGTTTCCTAAAGAAAGAAGATGGCACCTTTACAGCCACCTTAGAAGAGTCCGCAGAACTTTTGCTGCAGACCATGTTTCCAGGCAGCACACGGACTACCTCCCATTCCAAAAGGGATGTAGTCGGTACTCAACCTTCCCCGAAGGACTGGGCGCTGGCTGCAAAGGTAGTCACGGAGGCAAGACTGGAGTGGGCAGTGGACAGCTTTTCCCCATACAAATCTCCAGGAGTTGACGGTATTTATCCCGCCCTCCTGCAGAGGGGAATGAGCAGACTACGCCCTATTTTGTTGCCAATGCTTCGGGCGTGTCTGGCTTTCAGCTACATACCGAATGCATGGCGAAAAGTAAAGGTTATCTTTATACCTAAGCCAGGACGACAAGATTACACCTTGGCTAAATCCTACAGACCAATTAGCTTAACATCATTCTTGCTGAAAACGCTAGAAAGACTAAGCGAAAAAGAGATTCGGGAGACTGCTTTGAGCAAGCAACCTCTACATCCGAACCAACATGCCTACATCCAAGGAAGATCCACCGATACGGCCCTACACACAGTTGTAAACCGTATAGAGTGGGCGATGGAGAACAAACTCTTCACCTTAGGAATGTTTTTGGATATTGAAGGAGCGTTTGATAAAACGACCTTCAAAAGCATAGAACTAGCCCTACGAAAGCACGACGTGGACCCCACCCTAAGTAGGTGGGTGGCCAGTATGCTGAGGAACAGGGAAGTAATGATTAATGTAGGTGGCACTGAGATCGAGGCTGTTGTAGACAGGGGATGTCCTCAGGGAGGAGTTCTCTCTCCTGTACTGTGGGATACTGTCGTTGACAGCCTGATACGACGCCTCAATGATCTTGGCTACCACACAATTGGATACGCGGACGATCTAGTCATTCTGCTAACAGGAAAAAACGCAGATACATTATGTGAGATAATGCAAGCTGCAGTAAAAATAGTCGAGGAATGGTGCAACAGACATACCCTCTCCGTTAATGGAGAAAAGACGAAACTAATCCTGTTCACCAGGAAAAGGAAAATTGGCACACTACAGATGCCAAAAATATTTAACACAACGCTTCAACTTTCGGACGAAGTCAAATACCTGGGAGTTGTATTGGACTGGCGACTGAATTGGAAGAAGCATGTAGATGATAAAGTAGAAAAGGCACGCTCGGCTCTCTGGCAATGTCGTAGGGTGGTGGGAAGGTCGTGGGGTTTAAATCCCAAGATCGCCCTTTGGATCTACACGGCAATAGTCAGACCGATGCTGTGCTATGGAGCTTTAGTTTGGTGGCCCAGAGCCAGACAAAAAACAACAGCCCTGCAACTTGAACACGTTCAGAGAATGGCGTGTCTCAGTGTTACAGGAGCAATGAGGACCACTCCCACAGCGGCTCTGGAGACTCTTCTTTGCTTAGCACCTCTCAACCTTTACATAGAGGAAGCGGCAATGACGACGTCTCTAAGACTTCACTCTCTGGGAGTATGGAACAAGCAAGGCCGCACAACGAAGCACACTCGGATCTTAACGGAGGCGTTCAACAGAATACCCTTGTTGAGGATGGGTTGTGACCGAATGGGCACAAAATTAATATATGAGAAGACATATAGAATATCAATGAGTGATAATTCAGAAGGACGAGCCGACATAGATATCTATGTCGATGGTGCCAAAACAGATAGTGGTTCAGGAGCCGGCATCTACTCCGAACAACTGAACGCACAAATCAGTGTACCTCTCGGCACCCACACGTCTGTCTTACAAACAGAATTGATGGGAATAATGCTGGGAGCTAGAATCATTGCTGAACGTGAAATCGGCAACAAATCAATACGCATACTTACTGACAGCAAGTCTGCACTACTAGCCCTGGACAGCTGTATGGTTCGATCCGGGCTGGTTTGGGAGTGCAGACAAACGCTAAAGTATGTAACGCAGAGGAATAGTGTGGTACTTTGTTGGATCAAAGGACACAGTGGCAACGAAGGAAACGAGAGGGCAGATGAGATGGCGAAGCGAGCCGCGCGTATGCCCTTCTGGGGACCCGAACCGGCAATCACGCCTTCGGTCGCCCTCTCGAACGAACTCGTAAAGCAATATACCCATAGACGCCATGAGCAGATATGGGCGACGTTGAGCAGCTGTCGGCATAGTAGAGCTTGTATGGCGACACCAGACCGTAAGTTGACAAAATTTTATCTCTCACTTTCAAGGGACAAACTGCGTAAACTGGTAGGATTCCTTACGGGACATTACCAGTTTAACAAACATCTACATACGATAGGGGTAGCAACAGACCCAATCTGTCGTGGATGCAATGAAGAAGAGGAAACAGCTGAGCACATTCTTCGTGAGTGTCCAGCCCTAGCCTCCTACAGGGAATCCATACTAGGGGACATCTGGCCTAGTATGGCAAATATCAGGGAGTTTCCACCCTCTGCATTACTCAAGTACATTCAAGCAGTTGGATGGCTTGACGAGTAGAGGAGCGGGAAAACACCCTGATATGGACTTGGGGAAGGTACAATGGGCCCAAAGGCGAGGCCTAAGTGCCGGCTGGCTACGGTCAGCCCCCATAAATTAAGAATCCAGAGAATCCAGAGGCATGTTTTTATTAGTTAACTTTAAATTTAATAATAAGGTATTTTGATCAGTTATGCTACAACTTGTCCTTTACAGATTTTAAAGGTGGCATACTTAGACAGGGGTTGTTTTAAATACTTAACTGGAATTGGAATATTAAACAAGAAGAAAGAAAAGGCTTTTCGGTGAGTAAATTTCTCACTAACCTATTTTCACATCAAAGTGAAAAACTTTATGGGTATTAAAAGAAAAATCACAAGGTGATTTCATTTTTTCTGCCTAGGATGTTTTCGTATTTCGTATAGGTACCTACCTGTTTTATAACAATATATAATCATGATCAAAAGTGTCTTTGAATTTTTTAGACGTTAGAATACACGTTAATTTTCGTATTAGTGCTTTAAGAATCGGCTATATAACTGATTTTTGTCACAATTTTTTATACTCAACATTTTCATGTCCAATAAATTGGATCCAGTTTCACGTTTAAAAAAAAAATAACATGTTTTATTCGGAGAAAAATACCTTTTCGTAATTGCCAGCATCGCGCGCTCGGCCGTCAAACCTAAGAACAATAAAGTATTTTTGTATAAAATGTTCTGGCTCTAGTTAGTTAATGTCAGCCGCCCCTGGAATTTATTGTGATTTCACCATGTTTTATACCGTATTTAGTTTGGTAGAGCTGTACAGTTCGAATTTTGTGCCCAATAGGTATATAAATAAAAACGAAATTCGTGAATCCGTATGAGAATCGAATATTTTGCTCGTTGATGCAAATTATAGCAAGGGAACTAGGGGTTTGTTGAAACAGGGGTAAGTTGTAACACTAAATTTTTACTCAGAATTTAAACTCTTTAACGTCAGGTTTTTTACTGCACCATAAGACATCATGTCATCACAACCACTGTTCCTCCAGTCAGAGCAGTGAGTGGATGTGTGCACGTGTTTCGTTTTGGCCAAGTTATGTAAAATATTGCTTTGGTAAAATTTGGTTTTTCGTATCTGTTATTAATTAATTTTAAACTTTAAGTTTTGCATGTATTTCAAAAATTACTCAGCATTGAAATTCCTTACACATTTTGACGCTAAGCGACATAAATTTGTCGAAATGTAATTAAATGTAGAAAATTGTGCTACGGGGCTTGTTGTAACAATATCTGAGGGGCAAGTTCTAACATGTTACAACTTATCCCAAATTCACTTCTAGAAATCTCGTACCTAGCATACGAAAAGCGAGCGAAAATTTTGGCCTATGCCATATACCTATCTCTTTTCAGATACATTAAGAAAAAGGAAAACGAAACTCAAATCTTTAATGTTGACTCTTTTTCTAAAAGTTTATTTCAGTTTTACTGATAAATATTATATATAATGAAGTGTTGTGTTGATTTTTAAAAAATAAAGTCTAAATATGTATCAACATCAGGTTTATTTTTACTGTTACTACCTGCCTCATGGCTGTTACAACTAGCCCCAAACCCGGGGCAAGTTGTAACAGTGCACTTTTTTTAAGAATGCCTGGTATAAAGTGAATATGAACAATTTTGACCTTTTGCCTGTTCAGTCCAGTAGGGGAATAGTTAGACTACCGACAGATACTTTTATAATGGTCAAACAGCTAACAGATACCAAATTATATTCGTTTTCCTAAAAACTGTTACAACAAGCCCCTCGTTGCCCTACTTAAAAAATCAATTTAAAAAATGCGGATTTCGTAGTTTAAGTAAATTTACCTCTTCCGGAAAAGTTTTATTTGTTTCTCCGTTTACATCTCTGCGGACTGTCGTCTTTTGAATGCTTTCGTCAGTGCTCTTTTCACTATCTCCAACCTGTTCAAGAAAAAATTGTATTGTTAATAAAATTTTTATTTCTGTCAGGTTTGGGACTTGACTAAGATAAAAAGGTTTAATTTAACAAATACTCCAAATTCATTATTAAATTTAAGATAAATATAAAGATCTCGATTTTATCTCTACTCCTCTGCATTATAAATTGTGCATTATTTTTGTATTTGGCGGTCTTTTCTTATAGCTATTTCTGACTTCTCAAATTGATAATTGATCTTTGAGGTTACGCTTTTCCTCAACGACACTGATTCCCAACGAAATTTTCCTGTTTACATAAAAGCGAGGCACTTTTGTGTACCTACCCAGATTATCGATCAACTGTATTATGATTTCCATAGTTTATTTTTCCTTCTCGTAAATAAATATTTCAACAAGGTTTTTTAAAAACAATAACGGCAACTTTTGGGTTTTCATAAATTTTATTACGAAAGAATTAAATAACAATCAAAATCATTAAAACATAATTTTCGGCAATAACAAATTTGGGTCAATAGTGATAAAATACATAGTTAGTTAGTTTTATTCACGGCCAGCTCCATCAACTAAATACGGCCGTCCCATTTTTTCTAAAAGTTGTTCCTAAAAAGCATGCCATGACCGCCCTCTATTTGGCGTCATCTATCGGAGAACTGTCAAACACTGTCAAATTCAAATCCACGAATTGTCAATTTAAATATTTGATTAAACTCTTTCATTATTAAAGAAAATGGTTAAAAAGTGCTTTATTTGTGGTAGTACGGGCATTCCGCTGTTTCAGTTTCCAGCGGAACATACTTTAAGAGCCAAATGGTTAGACGTCATTAATAAAGTTTGTGGTAAATTTGAATATTGAATATCAATGTAAAAATTCACATATTCTTCCTTAATTTAGACGTAACAAATATTAATGATTACTCTGTAATCTGTAAAAATCACTTTGAAGAAGGCTGTCTCAAATTTGTCAACAGGAGATACCGGCTGAATAAAGAAGCTGTACCCACTGTTGATGTAAAATTATTATTATATTATTTTACAAAATTCGAAATTATATTGCTTAAAGGTTGAAACATCTCCAGAACCTGAATTTCCTGTCCTGCCTTGCAGATTTGAAAAATATGTACAAGCTGATTTAATTTCTTTAAAAGAACTTCAAAATCTGCGGTACCACTGTAAAGTGTTAACTCAAAAATTGAAAAGAACCACACAAAAATACCATCAATGTTTGTCAAAAATTGAAGATTTGAAGCAACAGAAAAGCGAAAACTCTCCAAATGTAGAGCTTATCACTAAATTAGTAAGAAATGCAGAAGCTGGTGATGAAAAGGCGGCATTTCTGTTGGATTTATTAAAAAACCACTTTAAGCAGAAACCGAGATGGTCTGAGCAAACCATAAGAATGTCAATTATATGGAGATTTTGCTCTCCGAAAGGTTACCGATTCTGTCACACGAATTTGTTTAAAGTTCCTTCGAAAAGTACTTTATCAAGGTTTCTTGGTGAATACAAAGGCCAAAATGTCTTAATAAAACAACGTTTGGAGGCTGAAGTCCAAAATTTTAGAGTACCGGTTGAAAGAGTGTGTTCTTTAATAGTTGACGATATGTCAGTCAAAGAAAGAATCCAGTATAGTAGAACTGATGATCATATTTATGGCTTGGATACTTGTGGTTCCCACGAAATAGGCCAACGTCCCCAAATCGCAAATAAGATGTTGTGTTACGTTGTCCATGGGTTGTCGACGAAATATACCATCCCAGCGGGATATTTTTTTCATAAATCTTTATCCACAAATGATTTTCATGCGCTTACTATTTCGGTTTTACAACTTTTGAGTGAAAGTGGATTTATTGTGTTGAGACTGGTGACGGATAACTTTTCGGCAAATACTGCACTTTTTAAAAAGTTGGGAAATGGATCTCTTCAGAATTATATTTCTCACCCTGTTCTGCCATCAATACCTTTGTTTTTGAGCTACGATTACTGTCACGCAGTGAAGAATGCGAGGAGTTTATTTTTAGACAGGGAAATGTCCTCTTCCGAAGGTGTTATTTCATCTACATATTTGAAAAAATTGTACGAGTTACAAAAAGATTTGCCTGTTAAACCTGTAAGGTACCTAACCAGGAAGCATTTGTACCCTTCGAATTTCGAAAAAATGAATGTGCTGCGAGCCATTCAAATATTTTCACCATCAGTCACGGCATCTTTGAAGTTTTTGAAGGAAGCAGGTGATCCGAGGTTTTGCAACGTCGACGCCACTATTAGTTATCTGGAAAACATGTATAAGTTTTTCCAAATCCACAACATGTCTAGTAGAACGTATTATATCCGTTCACGAGACAGCACGGTTGCACCTTATGCAGATGTATCAGACCAAAGGTTAGAGTGGTTAAATGTAACACTTCCTAATTACATCGACGATGTGCAAAGCAATTCTTCAAGAGACAGTTTGTCTGGTTTATCAGAAGAAACAGCAGAGGCCTTAAAATTCACCGCTAAGAGTACATGCCTTTGTATAAAATTCTTGCTGAAACAAGTTGGATTTTACTACGTTTTAACAAGGGGATTCAGTTCAGATGCTGTTGAAGCTATGTTTTCCCATGTACGCCTGAGAGGAGGGTCTAATGATGCAACAGACGCAAGGGCGGCGGAGTTCGCCCTACGTCAAATATTACGTTGTGGCATTGTTAAGGCTTCCACATCGGCAAATATTTCTGAAACTATGAGTTTTGTGAGTACAGCCCCATCAAAAACAAGAGAGATAGTAGAACAACATATAGAAGAGATGGTATTACCTTTTCAGTTAAGAATGAAAATTCAAAATTTGAAGACAAACATACCTGCTAACAATACAATATATTCTGCGTCAGTAGCGTTCCTAGCAGGTTACATCATTAAGAAACTGAATGACAAATTAAAGTGTGACGTGTGTGTATCACCATTAGTTTCCACAACACTTCCAGGGCCTTTGCTCCGTTTGATATTCTTGCAAGATCGTGGAGGTCTAACGTATCCAAACGAAACTTTTGTTGGAATTATTAAGAGAATAGCTGACATTGTGCAAGAAATTTCACCTTTTTTAAAATATGAAATGCCATTATATCAAGCATTTCAGTGCTTATATCCTCATTTGAAGGAAAATTCGTTATTTTGTTGCCCCTTGCACAAGGATAAATTGTCTAGTATGGTTATCAATCTAACTGTGAAGCCTGTTCTTGACAATATTTGTCTAGAAAAAACAGACATGGTTAAGAATTTACAATTACGCCAAAAGCCATTAAGTAGAAAAGTACTGAAATTATAAATAATGTAAATATACATTTGCGATCGCATTGTCCAAGATATTTTCACGAAATTATGTTCCTTAGTAAGTCCCTTACTGTTGTTTTGGTAGGTACTTGTCGTTTTAGACTTTGGTAATTTGTAAGCATTTCAATAAAACTGTTTGGTTTTGTAATTTAGTGCCCTATAATATATTTGTGTACTATTCAAGGCGATTTTCAAGAGTAGTATTGATTAAAATTACTATTTACAAACCGTTTTTAGTTCAATTACGGACATCGACGATTCACTGACATACATGACAATTAAAATCAACAAACCTGACCAAAAATGTCGTGTTTGATAACACTAGTAATCAATAGATGTCACTGTATAAGGGGCGATTTTGACAGATCTGGAGAAACAATTTGCCTAATGGAAATTTGAAAAATGAGACGGCCGTATATTATTTTTCAAAATGGGCGCGAAGGTCAAGGACACGCAAAACCCAAAAATTTACTCTTAACTGTGTAGTTTAGTATTTTTTTACACCTCCTTATTTTACTTTATCGACAATGCAATAGTGACTGATCTGTCACTTGAAACGTCAAGAACCGCATTAATTTTGAATCGTTTCTATGAGCGCGTTCTATCGCAATATTTATGATAGATTATGTTCTTACGGAGTGGGGAAGTTAGAACTACAACTTAAAAGCACCCAGCAGAGATCCTAAAGGAACAGATTTATAAATATGCCCAGGATAAATGGTATGGCAGTGACGAGAGCAAGAGGAATTATCCACCTAAGTATTTTTCAATATTCCTACCACTGTCAGTATAATCCAATTGAACTGGCGTGGGGACAGTGTAAACTATATTACAATAAACATATTCAGGAACACGGTGGTGCTATTGGTGTTGTACAGTCCTTATGGCGGGAGGCTCTTGCTACAGTAGGTGCAGACAAATGGCAAAATTTTATTAGACATTGTGAACGGCTGATCAGGGATGATTGGAAGCGTTTAATGGGTAATGCACCATATGAAGACATACCCCCAATCACAATTTCTCTCGATTCTGATACTGAATCAGAATGTTTTTCTAATAACTTGTCAGCTTGTCACTTTTTCATTTGGCATTTAATGTCAACAACAATCAGCATTAAGCCCTCAATGCAAACGGCTCTAAAGGCCTTGCTATGTACAGCAGCTGTGTTGAAACATGAGAGTGAAAACAATGTAAATTCTGTGTTTTCTGTTATATAACATACTATTTAGTTACATTTTCTTTTGTTTACAATATTATAGACGAGTACAACACAGATGCACAACAAAACGTGTTATTTACTGTAACGTCCGCGACCCTACAGTTTTGCGAGGGTTGTGATCTCCGCTAACTACACTGGTAAGTTGTCGACCTTGAAATTTGCTTAAATTTTGAAAAATAATATATGTAGTTGATGGAGCTGGCCGTGGTTTTATTGTATTCGATAATTTTACAATTGACACGTAGGTATGGATAAGTTCCTGTTAACATTTAAGTCACCTTATTTTCAGGTAGTGAAAATGAAACGAAATACCAAGATTCAATTAAATTTAATAAAAAAGAAACAATTACATTTAAAGATTTTATAATTTTTACCTAGTTAGATAGTTAAATCATGTAACTGAAACAACTACATACTAATTACAATGTTAATTTAACGCTTGTAACTCAATAAACAAACGATTCAATGGACTAATTTTTACATTACAAGTCACACATTTTTTAATTATGATTAAATATGGAGCTATTTAAATATTTCTTCTAGACAGTTAGTTAATCAGTTATTAGGTTATTACTACTCTATAAAGCGAAACAATGACAACTAATTAAAAAATTAAATAATTTAATAACTAAATATGTAACCACCAATCCACAAGTTTATGGGCATAGTCGCTTATAACGACACGAATTAACTTGCACCTTATTTCAACAATCAAGTGGTTTTTTGTTGATCGTGCTTATCATCTGTAAAATATATCTACAAATACCCTACCCATAAATACACCACAATTTTCCTTGATGGGATTTTTTTTTAATTAAAAAATTTATTATAGATGCACAGGTGAACTCATTTGCACTCAGTCACACCACATTTTATCTTATTTAATCGTTTCAGAAAATAAGTTCCGTTTCTAAGTACCTACTGCAAGGACAAAATGAATTACTATCAGCACTGCTCTGAATGTTCAGGTTCTGTAAATAATTCCATTAATATATTATGTGGAAAGAAAAATATATGATAGGTTCTGAAATAATAGTTATTCTGGTGTAATTTAAGTAAGTGATAGAGATCTTACTCAACCGATGCTTCTGTGAAAGTCTCTTTTGAGAATATATAGACAGTATTAACAAAGATTTATCGAATTGGCCACATTGGCTGAAAAGTGTCACACTAGAAATTTAAATTGACAAATTTGTGGCACCTTTGGATATTAGAAATTTTTCTATATTCGTGTGTTCGTACAAACATGCTACACAAAGCGGCGTCTGACCATATTTATCAGGGTGATTGATTTTGGCTCCGCATTTCACCAGACATTCGACAATTCTTTCGTGACCGTTTTGAGCTGCTACGTACAGCGGTGTTCGACCCATAAAATCAGCGGGACTGATTTCAGCTTCATTTTTTAATAAGCAGTCCACTGTTTTTTCGTGCCCTTTCGAAGAAGCCGTGTAAAGGGGTGTCCAGCCGAAAATATTAGCGAGATTAATTTCGGCTCCATATTCCAGTAAGAGCTCCGAAATATTCACGTGGTCCTTTTCGGAAGCCGCGTAGAGCGGTGTCCGACCAACACAATCAGCGTTATTGATTTTAGCATCCTTTTTCACTAGGCAATCAACGACTTTTTCCCGGCCTTTAGAACAAGCTGCGTAAAGCGGTGTTTGACTATTAACATCAAACGCATTGATTTTGGCCCCGCATTTCAGTAGACGTTCGACAATTTTTTCGTGACCGTTTTCAGAAGCTGCGTGAAGCGGCGTCCGACCATCTTTATCAGCGCGATTGATTTCGGCTCCGCATTCCACCAGATATTCGACAATTTTTTCGTGACCTCGAGAGGAAGCTTCGTGAAGCAGTGTCCGACCACCTTTATCAGCGCCATTGATTTCGGCTCCGCATTTCATCAGGAATTCGACAATTTTTTCGTGACGTCGAGAGGAAGCTTCGTGAAGCAGTGTCTGACGATCTTTATCAGCGCCATTGATTTGGGCTCCCCATTTCACCAGCCATACGACACTTTTTTCGTGACCTCGAGAGGAAGCTTCGTGAAGCGATGTGTTCCCATCTTCATCAACGCGATTGATTTCGGCTCCGCATTTCACCAGGAATTCGACAATTTTTTCGTGACCTTGAGAGGAAGCTAGGTAAAGCGGTGTCCGACCATCTTTATCAGCGCCATTGATTTCGGCTCCCCATTTCACCAGCCATACGACAATTTTTTCGTGACCTCGAGAGGAAGCTTCGTGAAGGGGTGTGTTCCCATCTTCATCAGCGCGATTGATTTTGGCTCCGCATTTCACCAGGAATTCGACAATTTTTTCGTGACCTTGAGAGGAAGCTAGGTAAAGCGGTGTCCGACCATCTTCATCAGCGCGATTGATTTCGGCTCCGCATTCCACCAGGCATTCGACAATTCTTTCGTGACCTTCAAAGGAAGCTACGTAAAGCGGTGTCCGACCATATTTATTAGGGCTATTGATTTCGGCTCCGCATTTCACCAGGCATTCGACAATTTTTTCGTGACCTTGGGAGGAAGCTGCGTAAAGCGGTGTGTTCCCATCTTCATCAGCGCGATTGATTTCGGCTCCGCATTTCACCAGGTATTCGACAATTTTTTCGTGACCTTCAGAGGAAGCTGCGTAAAGCGGTGTCCGACCATATTTATTAGGGCTATTGATTTCGGCTCCGCATTTCACCAGGCATTCGACAATTTTTTCGTGACCTTGGGAGGAAGCTGCGTAAAGCGGTGTGTTCCCATCTTCATCAGCGCGATTGATTTCGGCTCCGCATTTCACCAGGTATTCGACAATTTTTTCGTGACCTTGAAAGGAAGATGCGTGAAGCGGTGTTTGACCATTTTCATCAGCGCGATTAATTTGTGCTCCGCATTTCACCAGGCATTCGACAATTTTTTCGTGACCTTGGGAGGAAGCTGCGTAAAGCGGTGTCTTACCCCTTTTATCAGCGCGATTGATTTGGGCTCCGCATTTCACCAGGCATTCGACCATTTTTTCCTGACCTTGAGAGCAAGCTGCGTAAAGCGGTGTCTGACCATATTTATCAGCGCGATTGATTTTGGCTTTGCGTTTGACTAAATACTCAACAACTGTTAGGTGCCCCGCTCGAGAAGCTATTATAAGAGGCGTACTACCATCAAATTCAACAACAAAATTTACTTCTTTTTTAAAAATACTCCAAGATGAAAATAATTGTTGCTTAACAACCATTTTAACCACTTCTGCGTATCCGTGCAAAACGGCAAAAAATAAAATACTAATTTTGTCAGTTATTCGACTATCGGAATCTTTCAGTTGTAACTTTCGTAATTGTAATAATTCCAGTTCCGCTCCCAAACTTTCACTTTCTCGTGCACATGCTAAGGGTGTGATTTTAGATAAAATATCTTGTTCTAAAATTTCACAATGATCTATCAAAAACAATAACGCTTTAAAATATTCTTTAGTTTCTAATGAACTACTCATAATCTCTCTATTTGCCTCAATAACATAACCCCCAGATTCGGTTTGTACATTTAAACGCCCATGTCTTCGTCCCCAAGAACAGATGAGATGTAAGGCACTTCATCCACATTCATCTTTACGTTTTATTATTTTGTCGTCAAAGTTCTCCACTTCATCAAAATTTCTATATAAAATCGCTATGTGGACCGGCGAATTTTTGCCAGTTAACATGTCGAAGAAGAAGCGTACATTATTATACTTTTGATCAAAAAATACGTCCTTGCGTACCATTCCAAAATTTTTAACAAAATATAAGGCTACAAAATATTCGGCAAACGAAGCATGTGCAAATTGCGGAATGCCGTTTTGCACACCAGTGACAATACCAACAGTTGCGAAATCTTCAGAAACAGAATCTATATCTTGCGAATAATCTATCTTTAATTGTTTCAAAACATCTTCAGGAAATATTGCTTTGAACGCCAATTTTTCATACTGTTTTAATTTCTCTTCAATTTTTTTCCTTACCTCTTCTTTCGAAAAAGGATCGGTTACGTTCACTTTATCTCCATAGAAAAACTTAAATTTTCCTTCAATAAAGTAATGATACATGTCAGTCAGGAGAAATTTATTTTTTAATAACTCTAAATATTGTTTCTTATTTTGAAGTAATATCTCTGTAAGCATATATATTTGAAGTGGGATTCCTAATATATCTAAATGTTTTGTAAATGCAAACGTGGATTTAATTTTGTCGATGACTGGTTTCATATCTACAGGCTTAATAAAATTGTTAAGACGTTTCTTAATGTAGTCCTCTTGCTCGACTTCGGTGAGCTGATTGATACCCACTGACAGAGTATCAAATTTTTCTTCAAGAGAAGATCTCAAATGTTGCCTTGCAGTAACCCACTGAATGAAACCTTTCTGCGATAACATAAGAATGAAATCTAAAGTACCATTTAAATACTGAGTAAATATTTCATCAAGAGCGTCCCATACATAAACCACATTTCGTTTCTTTAAACACATTGTAAAGAATTCTCGATCCAACCCAGCGAGGTCTCGATATTTTTCGTTTAAAATAAATGTTTCGAATTGTAAGTCTGCTGATTTTTCAGACTTTTGTGAATTTTTAAAGAAAGACATAACATCTTGAGCACTCAGAATCACGGTCCAATATCTCGCACAACAGTTGTTTTTTAGACTCTTCGTTAACTCGGTTTTGCCCATTCCTGGGTCAGCTGTTATTAGATTTACGTTGTTGCAGAATTCGGAAGACCAAATTTCGTTTTCGTTTTTGGAAGCTACCTTATAATTTCGCAGTTCATTAACAGATCCTTTGCTTCGAATCAATTCTAAATTTTGATCGTTGAGAAGTTTAAAACAGTGTACAGTTTTGGATGCTGGTCCTTTAGAACATATTTTCTGAAAATCAGAATCACTGCAATTTTTTTCACTCCTTATAAAAATTGGATTATCAAAAATTTTGAGGTCTGTAGTACTTAAAAAACCCTCGGTGTCTATTAGAATATGTTTTTTAGGTAATTTCAATTGCTGAGAATTACCTTCGCAATTTAAAATGATAACAGTATTTCGATCAACGTTTTCTAAATATTTAGTATCTATAATATTGACTGACAAATACCTATCGATATAAAGATTCGGAAAAACTTCCTTTTGTCCATCTATATGGTATGGACCATTTGCCATCTCTAAAAGTTTTTCCACAGTAACATGTTTGAAAATTTCTTCATTTTTTTCGATAGCGGTCACTAACTTAATTGCTTCTTTTCCTTGTAAAGACAAGGTAAAATTTTGCAATACTTTTTCATACAACTCGACTTTTGGTTTCAAGTTGGACAAGTTTTCAAACACAGAGCGTCCTTTCATCCATTCTTCAGATTTTCCCTCACCTAATATGACGAATTTTGCATGTGAACAGAGTTTAATAGCTTTTTCCATATTTTCGTGTTCCTTTACAATAAGCGGACTTTTCTCCATCAGCCATAGTAACTGTGTCAACAAATTTGCATCCAGATTTTCGACACTACTTATACAATCAAAAGAAAGGGAATAAAGTAATCGAACTTTGTTTAGTTCTTTGAGGTCAATGTTTTGGTCCAAGTCTCCCCACAAATTTTTAACTGTGTTGCTGCCTTTTTTTTCCAACAACGTAATGTCGAACAGACAAATAGACTCTCGAAGTATTCTCATTTCGTCTGTGACTGAACCAAAAACAAACGGTTCGATCTGAGAAGAAAGCAAACGAAGTGCGATGACGCGTTGCATCATTCTTTTGCTTAGCTTTTCTTTTTTTCCATCTCGCATACTCCATTCTGATATGACGTCGACGTACTTCTTGAAAGTTTCTTCGTTAGAGCAAAACATCTCAGTGAATTTATCCATTGTTGATTTTGTAAGAGCTTCAAAACGATCTTGGTTTGTGTAAAGACGAAAGCTTTCGAAGAATGTTCGGTACTGCTGAATTTTTTCAGGATTTTGTTTAGTCCATTCGTCCTCTACGATTTGAAATGTATGATAATAATTTATATTTTCAGAAATTCTTAAAACGTTGAAATCGTCTCCTGAAACTGTATTTTTTATCGCCTTCAGGTAAAACTCTTCTCCTTCTAGTTTAAATTTTGTTTCTTCTGAAGTCTTAAATGTATTTGTGATGAATAATATAAATTCTTGCACTTCACCTTGAACCTCTTGAGTAGATTTGAAATATTTAATTAAACTAAAATCTCCCTTTTCGCCTGCTAGCTGCTTTGTATATAACTGTCTTTTTTCATTACTGTGTTTTAATTGCAGTGCTTTTCTGTTTATCCCCCTATCTGTCCAAATTTCAATAACCACGTCATCAAAATCACCAAAATTTTTATCGTTCGAAGAAATGCGGAAATCTCTTATTTTACTGTCGCTTACCAACTGTAGCGCGACGTTAGCGGTAACCAAATCTCCGTATTTTTTACCCTTATCGGTAGTTCCTCCTCGTTTTTCGAAAGTCTGAAACAGAATCAACAAGGTGAATAAATCGAGAAAGATTATAATTCGTTTTAAAATATAGAGCTACGGAGTAGATAATACATATTCCCAGTTATTGTTTATTATTTAATTATTTTTCTAATGTAGTCTGTCAGCTTGTATGTGGATGTAAATGTTAACAATAATAACAAGTTTATTTGCCCACAGAAACAAGTTACAATTATAGGACAATTTAAAGTACATAATAGTATATTAAAGAACGAGTTTCATAAGGCAAATATTGAGGCACGAATCCAAGTTTATAGAACGAGCGGCGAAGCCGCGAGTTATATAAAGGATGAGTGCCTCAATGGCCTTATGAACAGGTTATTTATACTATTTTTTCTACCGCACACGTTTTTTCCCAAAATTTAATTGAAATTTGCATTTTTTTTTTAATCTGGGGACTTTTGTCGTGGTTGGTGATGGGTCGGTCTGACACTAACCACGAAATATTTGAGGTTCTAATTTTCACAACAACAATTGTAATTCGAACCAATTCGAGTTTTTGTAATTTAAAATTGGTTAAAATGTCTTGCGAAGAAGTTACGCGTCCGGAAACATGAGAAATTTTAAGTTTAGATTTGCCACTGACATTCACCTGACATTTCTCGTCATTGCTACCAATCTTACCGATCTAAATTACACCAGATCTATTCAAGAACGCCTTTCGGCTATTAACGAACTGTTGTGACGTCATTAGCTCTATTAGAAAACCAAAAAACGTGGGCGGTAGAAAAATATATAAATATACTTACATTCTGATACTAATTCTACTACACATGTTAAATTCTACTAGAATGAAGTTAGAATTCCATGAAGCAATAAACGGCAAAACTTAAGAAGCAATAAATAACCAAAAACATATACCGTGAAGTTTTTTTTCTCTGAACATGTATGTCTGTTGGGTTGCATATTCATCCTCCAATGGTTTGATTTGGACTTTTAAAAACTGAACATAACATCACATAAGATTCGTAATAATAGAGCAGTAGACCATGTCAACGATGACATTTACTGTAAAATTTTTGACGAAATTTTTTTAAAAAGGTTAATAACGTAAATTTTCTGTTCTTTAAACTTGTACTTATTACAATACCTTAACATGGAGACAGTAGTGCCAAATGTCAATGGGAATATCTTTGACATATCCTAAATCTCGATTAGATTTTATGTTCAGTTTTTAAAAGTCCAAGTCAATTCATTACAAGCAGGTATGCAACCAACTTAACATTGGTCCTATGTTCAGAGAAAAAAAAACCTCACGGTATATATTTTAAAATACCTTGGATTAGCACCTTTACCTCAAAGACGACAATTTTTTTAGACTGCTTTTTCGTATAAAGTTTTAATGGCCGTTATAGGTTGTAATTCAATATTATCTATGTTCGCGTTGCATTACGCATGTCCCTAGTCGTGATGTGCGTAATCGACGGTTTTTGGAAATCCCATTTCATAGAACCTTATACGGTAGTACTAGATTATCTAGACTTGCATGTACTTTATATAACGTTGATTTTGTGGGTATTTCATTTAACAATTTTAAAAACAAATGTAAGATTAAATTAAGACTGAATTAGGGTTTTTGTTTTTTTTTTGTCTTTTCTTTTTTTGTGTTTATATAATATATATGTAAATGGCGTGTCCGTTAATAAAGTTTATTATTATTATTAAGATCCACCACTGACCCGGAAATGACCGGCACTCAGGCAAGACTTCTATCATTACGGGTATTAAGACCAAGTAAGGATATGCATTCATTAGATTAACAAAACAACTTTCGAGATTCTAGAATTACAGCATACAAATTAGTCTGCTATTATTCTCTAATCTCACCCCATCCCCAAAAGTCTAGCGTAACTACCGACCATTTATCCGCGCATCACTTGGAAAATGACCTACACTACTCTGACCTACTAGTGCTAATCTAATCTGACTGACATGATTCCAGAAACTTACGAGCAATATGACATGTTCCTAACAAAACAGCTTTTTGAATTTTGTCAATTATTGAATCATTCAAATGTAAAGACTTTAAATTCTCAACTAAGCTATTTGGAACTACACCTACATTAGAGATAACTAGGGGTAGAATTGAAATTTTTTTAAGATTCAACATGGATTTCATTTCTATCGATAATTGTAGATATTTTGAAATCTTGGTGTGGTATGTTTGAATAATATTGTTTGTGTTAGGAATAGCAATGTCAATGAGAATGGCTTCGTTCGTGTGTTTTTTGATAGGTATGATGTCTTGTCTGTTAGCTATAATGTTTAAGTCTGTAAGTATTGTGCGATCCCAGTATAATTTGTATTTGTTATTTTCAAGGAACGTAGATGGGATGTAAGTATAATAGGGTGTCGTATCTTCGATTAAGTTCATAAGTGTTGCTAATTCTTTGTGAATGATTTTGGCTGCGTTGTCGTGTCTAGCTTTGTAGTCAGTTTGTGCCAGGATGCTGCAGGAGGAAATTATGTGCTGGATCGTTTCAGGTTTTGCTTTCCAAAGGCGACAGCAGTCGTTTCTTATATTCGGATCTTTGATGATGTATTTTCTGTAATTCTTGGTATTGATTACTTGGTCTTGAATAGCAAACACAAATCCTTCTGTTTCGGCATACAAACTTGATTTTTTTAACCAAATCAATGACATGAGTTTCTTCTAAGCCTTTGTAAAATTTTCCATGTAGTTGTTTTTGTTTTAACCCACTTATTATTTTGTCTATTGTGTGGGGGGTGTGGATTTTTTCGGTGTTCGACAGATTTAAGGGTGTGTGGTTCAAATCAGCGCTTGTGATGGTGCGAAACATTTCATTTCTTTCTGCTCGTTTCAAGAAATATTATTATTATTATTAACACATTTGTTAGGCTTGGTCATGTCAAAATTGACAACTGTAAACTGAGGTACTAGCATTTTTTCCAATAATTCAGAATTGCTAACGAAAAAATTTACCTCAAACATTAACTATTGATATCGCCTAAATTCAAATACACATTATCGACTCATCAAAACCTCCAAATGCACTATTTATCTCATTTTGCTTTATAAAATACTTAAGTTGGTATGTGCAACTCGTAATATGTCGCATAAATTTAAAAACCAAAGTAAATATCATATTTTGGTAAACAAACTCACCTCTTTCGAAAAATCTTGATTTACTTTTCCATCCGTTTCTTTACGAATCCGCTTGGTTTGATGTGTATTTTCTGTGGTACTTTCTTTAATTTGCTGATTATTCCGAATTGCGAAAGCTTGATTGTTTGGAGTATCTTCTGTTTGTATTGGATCTGCGGGCTAACAAAATATTTAATTAATGACATTTATTTATTTAGTTATTTATTTATTTATGTAATTATTTATTTAGTATAAGATTCAACAAAGTGTTCACGGACAACATTTTATGAGAGATGTTTATTCTTCCAAATTTGTAATGTAAAAAATAAGTAAATGTAAGAAAGAAATATTGTGTGTAAAAAAATTGGAAAAAAGTTAGGTATTTATTTTTTTAAAGTTGTAATACACTAATAATAATACTACATAAACATTTGGTCTTTGCTGGCCCAAAGTTACAATACCTTTTTTGAGGAACATATATTCCCTTCAGATTGCGAAGTATTCATCTTTTCTAATTGTTTTCTTAGTCTTCTATGTTCTTTTTTCTGTTTCAAATTTTCTTCTAATTTTCTAATTTCTTCTTCTTCGGAACTCAAGTCCATGATGACGTTGAATGTGTTTTCTGAAAAAAAAAATCAAAATTATGACTACCAATTAAAAAAGTACACCCCTCGCTGTCAGAACACTGATACTAGTGTATGTATCAGTTTTCGACAATAAAACCGAAGGCTGGAGATTATTATATATATTAGCGAACTATTTTTCGAGAGGGGTAAAGGACAAAAGTTCGCTACTATAACTAGTGTTATGTTTAAAAAAAATCTTTTTTGGCTATCTACTATCAAATTCAAATTTAAAATTTAAAATATTCCAGCAATTACTGCCAAACATTTAATGTAATTTTGAAAAGCACTTTTTATACAGCACATGCCGATATAGTTAGGCGTTAGGCTGATGACATGATTGTAGCCACTACTGTCAACCTCCGACAGCACATATATACTCAAAAACTGTTGCAAAATTCAGCGTTTGTCTTTGAGTAGTGGCATTTCTGTCATATATCTAAGTGTAGTACAGAGAATATTCACAAAAAAATGGTCTAAAGTTATTTAGACAGAACTTCAAATACAGCTTCTTCAAAAAATTATAAAATGTAATTTTGTGAATTAGACTATTATTTAATGACATCCTCTATAAAGTTAAAATAAAGACATGTGTGTGGATTGTTAAAGTACAGGTAAATAAACATCGAATACGTATGTTTCAAGCGAGTTTTTTCCTAACAAAAATTTGTGATAACGTCATCAACATGTTAGCAAGGGGACATATAATTTGAAAATGTGCAATGTAATACTAATAATAATAACCTTGCAGACTAAAAGTTTGTGAAACATGGGATGAGCCGCTCTTGATTTGATCTGTAAAGTATACTGCCGAATTCATTATTTCCAACTCACCCTGTATAAGTATTGTTTTGCATGTTAAAATGCAAAATGTTGTTATTGTGTAATTTTAATTTTTTTTTAATCTGGATGTCTAGGGTAAAAATTCAACATTATTGTCATGTTATCATGTGGACATTATACGGTTTATTAGAAGGAAAATAAATGTTACAAGAAAATTTTTCAGTTTATCTAAAAATCTAGGTACATGGCGAATTTATTTGAAATGTTGACGAAATACTGATTTAGTCATTATAGGACAATGTTTAAAAATAAATTAAGAGTTGAATCAATCATTTTTGTTGGTTAAACGGAAAATTGTAAAAAAATAGGAAACTCAATATCTACGAATTTCATTAAATAATAATAATTTCAAACCCTTGCGGAAGCTCAATTAAATATTTGATTGGGATTAGATTTTTAACACGACCGAAGTACCACATGACCGACCGTACGCCAATCCGACGTCGCCAAACGCCTCGATAAATGCATGATTAACTTTAATCTCAGTTAAAATATTCCATAAACTGCTTAATAAATTATTAACTGATTCTTAATTAAAAAGCCGTCAGTCATTTCTGATATATATCTACTTAATTCACAAACCTTATTTAAAAAATACCAAAAGTAAAGTAAATTTATTGTTTTCTTAAAATGGACTATCACAGGTGTTGAATTGAACTTTCTAGCTTTCTACCATTTGTGGTTGTCTGAAAGAAAATTGTAATAATTATACCTAATTTTGATGCTTTTGTTTTAATAATAATATTTATTGATTTCAACAGCAACAATCGAGAAATAAACAGTCAGCTAAAAATTTTTAACTCAAATAACTTTTACATTTGTTAGCCAAAAGTAATAATATTAAATTTTCAAATGGTGAATCATAGCTCGCGCGTATATGTAAATTCAATGGTTAAAAAAAGTAACGAAAAAAATATATTACACAAATACCATTTTACTTGCTGCCCGAGAACTTGTTTGACCTACAGACCACAGCGCGTTCAGGCAAGTGTCGACTCTATAAGCGTTTATAAGCGATTTGGTTGATTTGGACTATAATTTCTGCGGGAAATAGTTGTTTGATATATATTTAGATGATTTTATTTACAAATATAATATCACATGTTACATATTTCACTCGATTTTTAATTGTCTTTTCTACTAGCAATACGTCTTAAATTAACAATATTGTTGAAATCGTAATAATCCAATTGATTTTTTTCGGGAAAACTCAAAAAACGAAAAATTGAGAAATCGAAACTCGAAAATTTAAAAAATCGAAAAATTGAAAAATCGAACAATTGAAAAAATCGAAACATCGAAACATTGGAAAATCGAAAAACCGAAAAGTGAAAAATCGGAAAACCGAGAAATCGAAAAATCAAAAGATCGAGAAATCGAGAAGTCGAAAAGTCAAAAAATTGAGATACCGAAATAGGCCAGAATCGAAATAACGAAAAGTTAAAAGATGAAAAATTGGAAAATCAAAAATCTAAAAGCGAAAAAATAAAAAAAAAACGATAAAACGGAAAAGTAGAAAAACTGAGGAACCGAAAAAACCCGAAATAAAAAATCGAAAAATTATAAATTGAAAAAGTGATAAATTGAGAAAATGAACAATCAAAATATCGAAACATCCAAACATCGATAAATTGGGAAATCAAAACCTTGAAAAATCGAAAAACTTTAAAAATGAAAAATTAAAAAATCGAAATTTTGAAAGAAACAAAAAACTGAAAAACAGAAAATCTAATACCGGAAAGTCGAAAAATCAAAAGACTAAGAAATCGAAACATTTGAAAAATTCGAAAACTTGAAAAATTAAAATATCGAAGAACTGAGAATAAAAAAAATTGAATAAATGAGAAATCGAAAAATCAAAAAAAGTGAAATCAAAAAATCGAAACCTTAAAGAAAATCGAAAAATTGAAGAATTGAAGAAGTGGAAAATCGAAACACTCGAAACTCAAGAAATGGAGAAATCAAAACATCGATTAATTGAAAAATCGAAACATGAAAGTTTATAAACGTCAAAAATTGAAAAAACGCCAAAACTAAAATTTTGAAAAATTGAGAATTCGAACGTTGTAAAAGCAAGAAACTGAAAAGCCGAAAAATCGAAAATCTCAATGTCGAGGATAAAAATTCAACATGGATTCTTAAACCACAAGTTCGAGAGTATGTTACTTTTTAACGTTTAAAGTTGTTGTCAAGTTATTTTATTTTATTATAAGATGCATGACCATAACTAAATAATTGTTCTTATATACTTATAGATGAAATCGTTTCTGAACGCTTAGAGTCGACATTAGCCTGAGTGCGCTGTGGTTTGTTGATCAAACAAGTTCTCAGGCGACGAATTGTAATATTTCCGGTACCATAATCAAAAATAATACAACTCGAGTTTTGGGTAAAAGTGTCGGGGGAATTTCGTCAGCGAAATGCCAACATAACCCAAATCTGTTTTTCTGCGTAAAACATAAAACAAATTTTACTGCACGTTCTTCAACATGAAAAATACTGACATGCACAAAACAAATCTTACTAAAGATACCAGGCAAAGTTTAATTTGTTCATTTTACAGCGAAAACCATAAGAAAAAATTTTACTATTAGGAAGTGCGTTTTTTCCGGCAGATATATCATTAAAGAAACTTAAGAACAAAACATTTCTCTTTTTTGTAGGTGATTAACAGAGTTAGAACAGTCATTGGGGCTCACGGCATTTGGAGAGCAGAGGCAGCTGGTACACCACATTTACTGGAATCGAAAATATAAAAAAAAAACAATAATGCAACAGTGACATATTTTATCAATGAGTCGTTAGATAATTTTTTTAATTAAGTATTAAAAAAATTGTTTTTCTAAGATCGATTTAAATTACCTTCGACTTGCATTAGCGTTCAAATTGCATGTTAAGTAGTAACGTCAATAAGTTGCATTAATTTTGTTCCATAACTAGAGCAAATTTTTGGTAAGGTAAGTAATCTGGTGTAAGTCAAATTTAAATTTGGTGTGATTCAATTTCCGAAATGATAATGTTAATTCAAATATAATAATATAAATATTATTGCAAACTTTTTGACAATATAAAAAAAAGTTCGTTTATGGCTATTCATAATAATTTTACTGTGTAATTGTAAATTAAATGAAACTTTTTAGGTTATTATGAAATCTTATAAACAAACATAACTAGATTAGAGACCATTGGGACGACCGTCAGTCTGTGGATATAGTATAAACGATTCGAAGATTCCTCGGGAAGAGCATTTAAAAAGCTTCAAGATACTTTACAAAAAACTACAAAGAGCTTCAATTTGTGAGCACGTTATTACAAACCGAAAATGTAGAAAAAGTTTTAAAAATAAAATCCACTGAAATTTCTAATTTTAGATATTCTCATTTAACATCGTGCGATGTTGAGAGATCCTTCTCTAGACAAAAAAATGTCTTAACAGACAAGAGGAAAAATGTTTCTGCAGAAGATTTCTAAAATTATCTAATTTGTTATGCAAATTTAACGATTTAAAATTAGAATCGCTGATTATGTGAAATAATAAAATAAATACAGGGTTAGTATAAAGTCCCGGAACGGTCGAATAACTTCGTTATTTTTTTTCTGAAATTTGCTTTGGATATATAGTTGAACATGACGACTTGATTACAATATTTGTTTAACATCAAAAATACCCAAGATATTTTATTGGGTATTTTTATTCTACCAATTTTTTTTTTTCAAATTTTTGAATCAGTAGAAATAAACATGTTGATAATTTCTGAAATTAGTTTTTTATTCTGCATCAGGAACTGTAAAAAAAATCTGGGTGTTCCATTAAAACAAAAAAAAAAGGCGGCCTTGTGTGTGAAACGGAAAGCGATAAAAAAAGAAAAAAATTAAAATCAAATCATGTTTAATTATACATCCACACCAAATTTCCAAAATATAGATGTGAAAGAGGACCAGACGTTGCTTAAAATTTATTTTTTCTTGGAGATGTACCAAAGGTAGAAATGCAAGTTTTAGGTCTGAAGTCTTATACATATTGATAGAAGCAATGCAAGTTATAATAAATTCGTTAATGATTATTATGTACAATACAAAATACGCGTCATTTTTAACTTACCCGTCAGGACGTTCACTTATTTTTGAACTTTGTAAACACAAAAAGAGCATTACTTTGTTATGGTAAACTTTTATACAATGATCAACAAATTTTTTAACGGTGTTCCTTATATATGCCTAAACTGAGAGTGGGTCTGTTTGAGTTTTTTGTTTAAACGTCATAATAAATAAATAAACACGTCACCCACTGATATGCCAAATGCAAAAAGTTTGTACATAATTTACATTTTAATTAATTTGCTACAAGTAAATATTATAAAAGCTAGATTTAGGATAACGATAAACATGAAGTGTTTACTAGCGCCTTGGTTTTTTTGCAATCAAATTTTATCTTATTTAACTTCTAATTCGTATTTACCTACTATTTGCGTCATAGTAGCGAAAATATGATCTATTTTCCATGAATTGGTTTCTCAATTCATTCGTATTGAGTGCAGTACAGAAAGACAACAAAATTGGCAGTCAAACAGCAAACACTTATTACATGCTAAAACTTTTTGTGGAAAATTTATTGGTGCTTTTGGCTGTTGACAGATCCCTATGTAACAAATTTCACAAGTTCAAAGACATTATCCTCCAACATGATTGACAACTCGATATACTTACCTTCCCATAAAATGTCAATTTTTAAAACTTCATTTTCTCACTTAGAGAGTTACGTTTTCAATAAGTACCCTGAGTTATCAGCGATGGGCTGTAGCAGAACCTTTTGTTCTCACATTTTCTCTTTAGTAGAACAATAAACGCATTTATTATTATTATATAACAATTGTTTTCGCATTCGTTGTAAAATACTATTATAATTTCTCGTTTCAGGTTTGATAAAAGGAAAAATATTGATTCGTTGATCAGTGGATAAAGTCGGCGTGGGTAAAACTCAACAATTTATTTCTTAATAATGCGAATTTACACGACTATAATTCCTGCGCACTTCACTGGACTCTCTTGACTCAAATGGATGGATAATCCGCGTCCCCGCCGGTGGTCTCTATTGAAACCTAAATGTTCCTCTCGATGATTCGAAAACGCCGCTTCGGGGGTTTTCTGGGCTTCCCATCGCGAGTTCCGCTTCCAGGCTTTTCGTCAGCGAACGCCGCGCCGCCCGGTCGATGAGTCATCACCGCCGTACATACCAGGATAAACACACACATACTAGAAGAGCCAAAGGCGCCGTTGCGGGTATGGGTTTATTTCGTAAAAATATATTATGTCGGAGAGCCCATGACATAAAAATTATGGAAATACCTACACTGAATATTTAAATCAAATTTATGAAGTGAATTTCAAAATATTTTTACTTACCTTAGTTTTCGTGTTTTTTTTGCATTTTTCAAGTTGGATAGTTAGACATACGCCAGTTTTTGCTGCAGCTCTCTTCGTATTGTTGTGAAGGCCTCACGAAAAACTAGTTTTGATTTGAATTTTTAAGTTTTTTTTTTAGTTTAGTTTATTAATTTCAATTTAAATAAGAATCCATAAAAGAAAGTGAATTGGCCTATGTTATCTGCAGCTATTTTTCCTAAGAAGTGACACATGTGTGAATCTCAAAAACAAGTTAAATTATAAGAATAAATAAATAAACATAATACAAATCTTCACAATTTCTGAAGACAGATGAAGAATATAGGTACACATATTATTGAATTACAAAGATGTCCATCATAATACAGTCTTTTTCTTTTGTTTTTCGTCTTGCGTCAGTTGTGTTCCACTATTTATCAAATTATTTCATTTTGTGTCAAAATAGTTTCATTTTTTGGCAAAACAATTTCATCGCACAGCGGCCAATATGGACAGCAGTTTAATGTCCTACCAAACACTGTCATAAAAATTTTCTCGAGTGAGAAAAACACTAACCAAGCGAAGGAAAGAAGTGCTAGGCACCATCCATGAAACTTAACTGAAGAACAAAAGAACAAATAAGCAAGTGGATTGATGAAGACTGTGTTTTAATCCTCAACTAGAAATACGCTTCTCTACCATAGACAGAGCTATCAAAGAGTGAGCTTAGAAGTGCGGCAGAACATGTGATTTCAACATGATGGTTGTCCAGAAGACTATTCGATGGTAGCACGTGGAATACTGAATCATGATTTCAATGGTCACTGGATCGGTAGAGCTGGTCCGATTCTTTTTGTGGTGCTAACAAATCAAACATGCTTGTGCCGAAATTCAAGCAGACACATTTCTCAGTGCACATTCAATATCCACTGAATTCAAAGGCCATCATTTTGAGCACTTACTTTAATTGAAAGATGGCGAGACGAGGGCACTAAATTAAGCACCATAATAAGTCAGAGGCGAGAGGGACCCACTTTAACCGAGCACCCTGAAGCGAACAGAATACTAATTTGTTCCCATCGTTGTTCCTGGGTTGCGCTAAAAGTCGTTCATTCGCCAGTCATTGACATTTCTACAGGTAAGTAACAATTTCCAAGTTGTTCGAAATTTGCAGCATAAACGACGATTTTCGAGTACTTACAAAAAACGTGGTATTTTTTTATTGCCAACGTATTGCAGAATCATATGCATTTTTTCTCAGGAGAAACCGAAAAATTTTGAATTTCTTCGATTCAGCACCATTTGTCACAAATTGAAAAAAATGTTTCAGACAAATCATGCGTACTTAGACTTCGAATCTGCAGTAATAGATAGCAGTTCATATTTAAGGTTTCAAGGTTAACCCCTGCCCTACCCACAAGGAGAGGGGAAGGAGAGCTAATTTTAGCACCAATGTATTTCCCTCGTGGCATGAATAAATATTGAGTATACAATTAGATTAGATGTGATATCGATGAAGAGACAGCTGATTCATCTTCAGTTGAACAATTTACGAACAACCAGCAAGAAGAAGAGGAAGAAGAAGAAGAAATTGAGGAAGATAAGATTGTTGAAGTCGAATTTGAAAAGTGTGAATCAAATTAAAATGTTAACAGAAATTAGAACTATGGTTTAAATCAATTAACTATATAAATAACAATAATCATCATGCCGTACTTAAATACCGTAATTTCCGATATAACTCCGTCATAACAGATCGTGGAGTAGGCCCACGGGGAAAACCACGTTAAAAAAAAAACGCCAAGTACACTACTTCACAGATGTGGAAATGCGTGCATATCATGTGGAATGTAACTCCTTCAACTTTTAGAACGGTAATTGACCCTTTTCCTGTAAGATCATAAAACTTCCATAGTGACTTTCCGTGCGCACGCATCTTCAAAACCACGTTGGAAATAGTATCCGGCACTCCGGCAGCAGAGCAAAGCCCTGTGACAACAAACCGCTTTGACAGGCTACACATGCGTAATCTGTCGCTCATTGGTTAATTTTAACTTGGCGCTCCAAAAATCTGACTTCGCCTGCGGGATGTTGTCTCACTCTGTATCATTGGAATTTATATAATGTCTACTCACTTTGCTTACAGGAAAAGGGTCCTATGGACTTAGGAATGGTGATTCTTACAAAAAAAAAAAGTATGTGGGCCATTTTTGTAGATAATATTATTATATATAATTTTTGTTAAAACTTACCGTTTTCGAGAAAAATCCAAAAAGCCAAAAATTTTGATGTTTGACTTTGAATAACTTTTTTAGCACACATGGGATCTATGATCTATGGGGACTTTTGGCACTTTATTTCTACTGGTGTACCCAAGGTCTCTACCAGAATTCGGCTCTGTCAAAGTTTTTGTTATTCGATCACTACATTTATGTCTATTTTGAGCCGTGACGTTCAGAAAGTGGCGACATCTGCCAATTCTAATCAGTTACTGTCAATCCTTGGCGGTAAACGTAAATGTTCTTGTCAGCGTAATTTTCTCAGTTTATTTTCTTGCTCCATTTTTCACATTTCGTGTTTGATTTACCAATTTTTTCGTGTTCAGTTTCTCACTTTTCGTGTTTAGTTTCTTAGTTTTCGTGTTTATTGGGTTATAAACAATTTGTGTTATTTATTTGTTATCTGTAACAATGGGTAGACGCTGTGCCTTGTGCAAAAATAAAGACTTATCTCTGTGTGAAATACCTCCAGATCACAACACTAGAAAGGAGTGGTTCGAGTTCTTCAAAAAACACTACAGTAAGTATTTTTTAGTCAAATTTACGGTAGACACTTTTCCGATCCACTTGCAGATGCATTCAAAATAACGATTTCACTGTAATTTGCAAGAAGCATTCCAAAGAAAAATGTTTCAAGAAAGTTGCTACATGAGTTTTCAAATTTTCAGTTCTTCCATTTTTCTAATTACAATTTTTCGTTTTGGTTTTTGTTTTATTTATTTTTAAAATTTTTCGCTTTTCACTGTTCGGATTCCATCATTTTTCTTTTTTTTTTTCAATGTGAATTTTTCCAGTTTTTGGAATTTTCAAGTTTTCAGTCTTCAGTTTTTGGTTTTTCAATTTTAAACTTTTTTAATAAAAATTCCAAAAAAATGTATTTTATTCTAATGTTTGATAACAAACAGCAATCTATTTCAACATATGTACACATTAATTCATTATTTACATACTTGTTTACAACATAGGAACTGATTGATTACATTTTTTAGATACACAGGTTTATCGAAGTCCTTGGTTGGAGTAATCATCGTTACATTACTAGTAATAAACTTATAAACTACAATATATGTACATATCTCAACTACAAAGTAAAAATATCCCTCACATGTCATGATACTTTTTTTAATAAACCAGCAAAACTATGATTAAGTAAGAAAATACGACAAGGTTGCAGTCCCTCTTCGGTATTTTTGCTCCAATTCAGATTTTTACATATTCTATCAACAACTATTCCTAAAAGAAAAGCTGCTTCAATTACGTACTTTGGTTTTGTTAAGTGTTTTTTCACCTGTGTACCAATTGTCAAGAAGAAAGATAGTTTCGTAGTTGCCATGCTTGAGCATCTTCAGTATTTGGTCACAGTAAATTTCCCGCTTCCTCTCTGAATCAAACTTTGTCAGTTTGTCAAAAGAGTATGTTTTTGGGAAATCGTTGTGAAATGCTTAAAACACTATGAACAAATTTAAACCCCAACTACGACTTGGTACAAAATGTTCATTTTTGTAATGCAAACCTAGTGGATCTATATAGTGATAAAAATATTCAACAATGGAAAACAACCTTGACGTCGTTTTTTGCTAATTCTGAGTAAAAGTACTTAGTTAAAAGGTATCATGGCACTTTACATTTCAAAATTTTTAATTATTTTGTCCTCGAAGCGCCGAACAGATGCAAATACAAAAACGCGTCTTGAATGCGTGAACAACGAATCTAGCGCTGACATTTGTTAGACATGAATGCTGCATCCGTTGAGCGATCTTGGCAAAAAAGACACACAGAGACGAAATAAATTACACATTAAAGCAACCATTTACAACACTACTTACAAATAATAAAGTTATTATCAAACTCATATTAGAACTAGAATTAATTGTGCGATGGAAAACTATCTCAATCAAAGTGAATGTGTTATTAATTTGTTAAATTATGTTACATGTGAACGGTTTGGCCATGTAAATAATATGAATCTGATTAAGATGATTTTCTATAGCACCATACTGTTTTCTATGCAGTGATTTCGGAATGTATGGACAATTTGTAGCTACTGCGATGACAAGATGAAGTTCCTGCTGATGGTGCAGGAATTGCGACTAAATTCTCTGGTTTGGAATTCATTTAGCGTAAGTTTTGCTGCAATTTTAAATATTTTGTGATACTGTGAATTTTAAAGTTGTAAAAGTTACCTTAAAACCCTCTTCTGTTGATATTGTCCAGGTCAGTTAGCGGTATTAAGCCCATTTGTTAAAACTTGAGGTTAGAAACCTGATTCCGCCTAAGATATATTTTGTGTTGATACAAAATTACAACACCAGTTGCTGTTTTTCAATTCGTTGTTTTGGCAGGCAGGAAAAGTCTATAATGCAAAATGTGATAAATAAATCTAAGTACTTTGGTAGGGAAATTTACCTCTTTTTGAAGCGGAAGTATTTTTCAAAACATTGTTCCAATATTAGTTCTTGATGAATAACAGAAATTTTGGTTCCAATTTTTTTTAAAACTATGGAAACACCTGTACTGGAATGTTAAACCAAATTTATAAAGTTAATTTTAAAATATTTTTACTTACCTTAGTTTATGTGTTTTGTTTGTATTTTTTTAAAGTTTGATAGTAGGACGTACGCCAGCTTTTGCTGCAGTTCTCTTCGTATTGTTGTGAAGGCCTCACCAAAAAAATTTGTACTGAAATTCATAGTTACATAACGCCAAATATATTTAGATAATGACTCACCTAAAGTAAAAGTTGAAGCTTAGCTGATTTTGCCCGAAAATATACTTGACAAATTTTCGTAAAATATTGACTGATCGAGTTTGCATTTATGTGGTCGTCAACTGATTAAAATTTGGAATAGTATCAAAATTATTTATGGAAAGTTCAAATTTTGTTTGAATAGAATAAAATAAATTTCATGGAAGTTAAAAAATCCGAAAATGGTACTTCAGAAAAAACTATAAACAAAATAATTATAAAATAAGTCGTCATGTCAAATTAGTTTATTCAAGTGAAATATGTGACCATCAAAGAAAGTGACTTATTTAGTTTGTGGCTATGTTTTCCATAGATGTGAAAATTTAATGAATCTCAAAAATAAGTTTAAATATAAGAATAGATAACTAAAAAAAAAATAAATAAATAAGTTAATAAGCAATACAAGTCTTTACAATATATGAAAACAGATGAAGGATATGTAGATATACAAAGATGTACATCATAAAATAGTGTTTTTCTTTTGATTTTGGTCTTTCATCAATTGTGTTCCACTAATTGTGAAATTTATTTCCTACTCTTATTAAATTAAATGTTTCTCAAATTGTTTGACCTTCTGTCAAAACAGTTTCTTATCTTTAACAAACCAATTTCGTCGCACATCAACCAATGTGGACAGCTCTTTAATATCCAACCAAACACTGTTAGAAAAATTTACTCGACTAATCAAATGGAGAAAGAAAATGCTATGCAGCGCACGTAAAAGTTAACTAAACAACTTGGTTGATGAAGACTTTGTTTAACTCTTACGGAAGATCACCAAGTAACTGTAGCGCAAACAAAGTTAAAGGTCAGCTGACAGGTCGTAATTAGTCGATTACGATTTTTTAAAACCTTATTGAATCACTTATAAAAAGATAATATTAGGGGCGCACGGACATATTTTAATGAACAATGTAAGATTTCACAGAACTGAAGAAATTCAACGATTGATACAAACCCATGGAGTTTTTCCTGTATTTCTACCTCGATATAGGACTTTTCTTAACCCAGTAGCTCAAAACTTGGTCGAAGAGTGGTAATGACGTGTGCAGCCCCCTTTGAAATCTACAGATCAAACCTAATTGGGAAACTGTTTAATCAGTGGAAAGTGATTATTAAAAGAAGTCATCCTAGAAACGGAGACGAATTAAATATCCAATATCCAAGTACACAATGCTTTTGACGCAATAATTTGTTGGGATTGGCTAAACAGAAATCAAATTTTGAACTTAAATAATTTGTTAATGATTATAGATTGACATATTTGTTAAAATAAATTACTTATGCTTGGGCCCTTGTAGCTAAAATACAAAATATTTATTAGAACTGAGGGAAAGTACCTATCTGCGATAAATTGAAAGAATTTTGACAAAGGGAATTATTTTTCGCACATGATATCAAAATGGCAAATACGGGAAAACGGTGTCAAACAGTGAAACATTTTCGACAAATAAAGAAAAACACTGTATTAAGAAAAAATTTTGTAGAAACAAATTTTAATTTTAATCAAACTAGGTAAAATTGGTCCAAGGCATCAGACAGGACATTTGTCGCTCCTGAAATACGGTCGAACAAATTCAGTTTTTTTTTAATTTTATTTTTTTTAATATAAATCCTATAATTAAAGTATGTAATAATATTTCTCAAAGGTAAAGGTAACATTGTTTTTAATAGACAGAACAAAATTAACGTCCCTGATGTGATCAACAAAATAACAATTAAAAAATGAGGCGGCGGATGGTAATAAAATATTTAAAGTCTGGCCCGGCGTAGAGGAGTTTTGGATCACCGTTGAACTAATCAATCGACAGATTTTTGGTGACTATTCGAGTTGAACCATCATTATTCATTTTATTAAACGAAAGGTTTTGCTCCACATTTTACTAAGTATTCGACAATTTTTCTGTGACCTTGAAAGAGAGCTGCGAAAAGCGGTGTCCAACCATTTATATTAGGGCTATTGATTTCGGCTCCGCATTTCACCAGGAATTCGACAATTATTTCGTAACCTTGAAAGGAAGCTGCGTTAAGTGGTGTCCAACCATCTTCACCAGCGCGATTGATTTCGGCTCCGCATTTCACCAGGCATTCGACAATTTTCTCGTGACCTTGAGAGGAAGCTGCGTAAAGCGGTGTCCGACCATATTTATCAGGGTTATTGATTTCGGCTCCGCATTTCACCAGGCATTCGACAATTTTTTCGTGACCTTGAAAGGAAGCTGCGTACAGCAATGTGTTCTCATATGTATTAGCTGGATTAATTTTAGCTCCGCATTTCACCAGGCATTCGACAATTTTTTCGTGACCTCGAGAGGAAGCTGCGTAAAGAGGTGTCTGACCATCTTTATTAGCGCGATTGATTTCGGCTCCGCATTTCAACAGGCATTCGACAATTTTTTCGTGACCTTGAGAGGAAGCTGCGTACAACAATGTGTTCTCATATGTATTAGCTGGATTAATTTTTGCCCCGCATTTCACCAGGCATTTGACAATTTTTTCGTGACCTTGAGAGGAAGCTGCGTAAAGCGGTGTCCGACCATCTTTATCAGCGCGATTGATTTCGGCTCCGCATTTCACCAGGAATTCGACAATTTTTTCGTGACCTTGAGAGGAAGTTGCGTAAAGCGGTGTCTCACCATCTTTATTAGCGCGATTGATTTCGGCTCCGCATTTCACCAGGCATTCGACAATTTTTTCGTGACCTTGAGAGGAAGCTGCGTAAAGCGGTGTCCGACCATCTTTATCAGCGCGATTGATTTCGGCTCCGCATTTCACCAGGAATTCGACAATTTTTTCGTGACCTTGAGAGGAAGTTGCGTAAAGCGGTGTCTCACCATCTTTATTAGCGCGATTGATTTCGGCTCCGCATTTCACCAAGCATTCGACAATTTTTCCGTGACCTTGAGAGGAAGCTGCGTAAAGCGGTGTCCGACCATTTTTATCAGCGCGATTGATTTCGGCTCCGCATTTCACCAGGCATTCGACAATTTTTTCGTGACCTCGAGAGGAAGCTGCGTAAAGCGGTGTCAAACCATTTTTATCAGCGCGATTGATTTCGGCTCCGCATTTCACCAGGAATTCGACAATTTTTTCGTGACCTTGAGAGGAAGCTGCGTAAAGCGGTGTCCGACCATTTTTATCAGCGCGATTGATTTCGGCTCCGCATTTCACCAGGAATTCGACAATTTTTTCGTAACCTCGAGAGGAAGCTGCGTAAAGCGGTGTCAGACCATCTTCAAGAGCGTGATTGATTTCGGCTCCGCATTTCACCAGGAATTCGACAATTTTTTCGTGAGCTTGAGAGGAAGCTGCGTAAAGCGGTGTCCCACCATAAATATATACGCGATTGATTTCGGCTCCGCATTTCACCAGGAATTCGACAATTTTTTCGTGACCTCGAGAGGAAGCTGCGTGAAGCGGTGTCCCACCATAAATATATACGCGATTGATTTCGGCTCCGCATTTCACCAGGAATTCGACAATTTTTTCGTGACCTCGAGAGGAAGCTGCGTAAAGCGGTGTCTCACCATATTTATTAATGCGATTGATTTCGGCTCCGTATTTGACCAAGTACTCAACAACTGTTTCGTGCCCCTCTCGAGAAGCTATTATAAGAGGCGTACTACCATCGAATTCAACACTAAAATTTACTTCATTATTAGAACTACTCGAAGATGAAAATAATATTTTAAACGCTTCTGCGTATCCGTGCAAAGCGGCAAAAAATAAAATATTAATTTTGTCTATTCGACTATACGAATCTTTCAGTTGTAATTTGCATGATTGCAATAATTCCAGTTCAGCTCCCAAACTATCACTTTCTTGTGCCCATGCTAAGGGTGTGATTTTATGTAAAAGATCTTGTTCTAATATTTCACAATTATCTAACAAAAACGATAACGCTTTAAAATATTCTTTCGTTTCTAATGAACTACTCATTATCTCCCTAGTTGCCTCAATAACGTAACCGCTAGATTCGGTGTGTACATTTATACGCCCTTGTCTTCGTCCCCAAGAACAAATGAGGTGTAAGGCACTTCTTCCACACTCATCTTTACGTTTTATTATTTTGTCGTCAAAGTTCTCCACTTCATCAAAATTTCTATATAAAATCGCAATGTGGACCGGTGAATTTGTGCCAGTTAACATGTCGAAGAAGAAACGTACGTTATTATACTTCGCATCAAAAAATATGTACCTGTGTATCATTTTAAAATTTCTAGAAAAATATAAGGCAACAAAATATTCGGCAAAGGAAGCATGTGCAAATTGCGGTATGCCGTTTTGTAGTCCAGTCACGATACCGACAGTTGCGAAATCTTCAGAAACAGAATCTATCTTTTGCGAATAATCTATATTTAATTGTTTCAAAACATCTTCAGGAAATATTACTTTGAGCGCCAACTTTTCATACTGTTTTAATTTCTCTTCCTTCTTTTTCTTTACTTCTTCTTCCCAATAATCATTGTTTACGGGCACTTTATCTCCGTAGAAAAACTTAAATTTTCCTTCAATAAAATACCGGTACATGTCAGTCAGGAGAAATTTATTGTTTAATAAGTCTAAATAGTTTTCCTTGTTTTTAAGTAATACGTCTGTAAGCATAAAAATTTGAAGGGGGATTCCCAATATATCTATATGTTTTGTAAATGCAAACGTGGATTTAATTTTGTCGATGACTGGTTTCACATCTACAGGCTTAATAAAATTGTTAAGACGTTTCTTAATGTAGTCCTCTTGCTCGACTTCGCTGAGCTGATTGATACCCACGGACAGGGTATCAAATTTTTCTTCTAGAGAAGATCTCAAATGTTGCCTTGCAGTAACCCACTGAATGCAATCTTTTTGTGAAAACATAAGAATGAGATCTAAAGTAGAATTTAAATAGCGAGTAAATATTTCATCAAGAGCGTCCCATACATAAACCACATTGCGTTGCTTTAAACACATTTTAAAAAATTCTCGATCGAGTCCAGCGTGATGTCGATATTTTTCGTTTAAAATAAATGTTTCGAATAGTTCTAAGTGTGATTTTTTAGACTTTGCTGAATTTTTAAAGAAAGACATAACATCTTGAGCACTCAGAATCACGGTCCAATATCTCGCACAACAGTTGTTTTTTAGACTCTTCGTTAACTCGGTTTTGCCCATTCCTGGGTCACCTGTTATTAGATGTATGTTGTTGCTGAATTCGGAAGACCAAATTTCGTTTTCGTTTTTGGAACGACTACGTAATTTATATTTTCGCAGTTCATTAACTGAGCCTTTGCTTCCAATCCATTCTAAATTTTGATCGTTGAGAAATTTAAAATAGTGCACAGTTGTGGATTCTGCTGTTTTAGAACATATTATTTGAAAATCAGAATCACTGCAATTTTTTTCGCTCCTTATAAAAATTGGTTTATCAAAAATTTTGGGGTCTGTATTACTTAAAAAACCCTCGATGTCTGTTAGAGTATACTTTTTAGATATTTTCAATTGCTGAGAATAACCTTCGCAATTTAAAATGATAACAGTCTTTCGATTAACATGTTCTAAATATTTAATGTCTATAATATTGACTGACAAATATCTATCGATATAGAGATTGGGAAAAACTTCCTTTTGTCCATCTATATGCCATGGACCATTTGCCATCTCTAAAAGTTTTTCCACAGTAACATGTTTGAAAATTTCTTCATTTTTGTCGAAAGCGGTCACTAACTTAATTGCTTCTTTTCCTTGTATAGAAATGGTGAAATTTTGCAATACTTTTTCATACAATTCGCCTTTTGATTTCAAGTTGGGTAAGTTTTGAAAGACAAATCGTTTTTTCATCCATTCTTTATATTTTCCTTCGCCAAGTATAATAAATTTTGCATCTGGACAAAGTTTAATAGCTTTCTCCATATTTTCGTGTTCTTTCACAATGAGTGGACATTTCTCCATCAGCCAAAGCAACTGTGTCAACAAATTTGCATCCAGATTTTCGACACCACTTATGTAATTTGAAGAAAGAGAATAAAGTGATCGAACTTTGTTTAGTTCTTTGAGGTCAATGTTTTGGTTCAAATCTCCCCACAAATTTTTAACTGCGTTGCTGCCTTTTTTTCCCAACAACGTAATGTCGAACAGACAAATAGCCTCCCGAAGTATTTTCATTTCGTCTGTGACTGAACCAAAAACAAATGGTTCGATCTGAGATGAAAGCAAACGAAGTGCTATTGCATGTTGCATCATTCTTTTGTTTAGTTTTTCTTTTTCTTTTTCTTTCAAACTCCATTCCGATATCATGTCGAAGTATTTCTTGAAAGTTTCTTCATTAGAGCAAAACATCTCAGTAAATTTATCCATTGTTGATTTTGTAAGAGCTTCAAAACGTTCTTGGTTTGTGTAAAGACGAAAGCACTCGAAAAATGTTTGGTACTGCTGAATTTTTTCAGGATTTTGTTTAGTCCATTCGTCCTCTACTATGTGAAATGTATGATAATAATTTATATTTTCAGAAATTCTTAAAACGTCGAAATCGTCTCCTGAAACTGTCTTTTTACTGACCTTCACGTAAAACTCTTCCCCTTCTAGTTTAAATTTCGTTTCTTCCGAAGTTTTAAATGTATTTGTGGTAAATAATATAAATTCTTGCACTTCGTCTTGAACCTCTTGAGCAGATTTGAAATATTTGATTAAACTAAAATCTCCCTTTTTGTTTGCCAGCTGCTTTATATACAATTGTCTTTTTTCGTTACTGTGTTTCAATTGCAGTGCCTTTGTTTTTATTCCGCTATCCGTCTCAATTTCAATAACCACGTCATCAAAATCACCAAAATTTTTATCGTTCGAAGAAATGCAGAAATCTCTTATTTCACTGTCGCTTACCAATTGTAGTGCGACTTTAGCGGTAACCAAATCTTCGTATTTTTTTCCCTTGTCGGTGGTTCCTGCTCGTTTTTCAAAAAGCTGTAATAGAAATCAACAATGTGAATAAATCGAAAATAGTTGCAAATCATTTAAAAATTAGACTTCGAAATAGTTCTAAGTTTTTTTATGCTTTTGCTGATATAAACGCAGACAGGTCTTGTTTGAGTTATTTTTTCTGATACAAAATAACGGCCAAAACGTATATTTCATCATAAATAAATTTACCTTATCCGACGTAGTTTTATTTCTTTCGCCATCTGTTTCTCGTCCAGCCCAGTTCCCTGGAACTATATTTTCTTGGGTATTTCCCTTAATTTGATGACTGTCTTCAGATAGAGCAGCTTGCTTGTTTGTAGTGTCTTCTATTGCTATTAGATCTGTCTGCTAAAAATAATTTAATAAACAAAATTATTATCGTGTTTTCGCAAAAACATTGTTAAAATTATTCTAAGTAACTTTAACAATTAACTAGAATAATTTTGAAACTAAAGTTTCAAAAGTTTCATCATTTTTCTTAGAGCTGAAATAATGGACCGTGAATAAGAAACATGAAATTTTCGAGACGATGATATTTGGTAAAAAAATTGATCTGAACACATGGTGCACAAAAAAATGGAAAATTTTAGATTTTTCTTAATATGTTTTAGAAGTTCTCTTGTAAAATTGTATAGTTTTAATTAGTTACTTCCCGAGCGTAAGTGGTAAAAGGCTAACCAAAATTTGTCTAATCATCCCCACCACTAATGTGTCACTTCAAAATTGTACTAAGTAAATGGGTTTTAAATTGTATAAAATAACATAGCCCTGCACATGTAGTTTACGACTCCGAATTGAGGTTTTACCCGAAACGTTCAGATTTTTGAAAAAAAAATCAAAATTATAAAACAACATTTTGCAATTTAATTTTTAATCTGCTAACCCGAATGCTTTGAAATGTTGTAGATGTTTCAAGGCTATAAAGAGCATCATAAATCTTTAGTCAAAATATATTTGGTTATCCCCTCCAAAAACTTGATGACGTCCACTCGACAATTTGCCAATAAATCCCATCTAAACTGTACAAAATATGATGAGTCTGTACTTGTGATTTATCACTCCATTCATATTTTTACTTCCCGAGCGCAAGCAAAGGAAGTATTGTAATCGAGTCCGTCGGCCGACTCTCTACTTTTATGTTTTCTCGATCTTTCATGACCACTAGAAGACGAAGAAATAGGTCTCCCATTTCCGTCTGTCTGTCCGTCTGTCCGTCTGTCTGCCGTCCCGGATTTTTATTAGACAGATAATCTCCGAAAGTACTGGACCGATTGTTGTGAAATTTTGTAGTTATATTAGGAATATCATGTAGATGGTAAAACGCTAACCAAAATTTGTTTGATGAGTCTGTAGTTGTAATTTATCATCCCATTTATATTTTTTGAATTTGAATATACCGCGTGACTCAAAAAAAAATGCATGAGCAAATTTATTTTATTGATTTACTCAGGAACTACGAAACCGAATGCTTTGAAATCTACTGCGAAAGAAAAAACAATAGGCATGCAGTCGTCACGTTTCCGACTGCGAGAGAAGTACTGTCTAAGCTCTTTAGACCAATTTTTAATTTCCTAAAACCGAGAAGATCATAGGAAAATGTAATTTGCACCTCTGTAAAAAAGTGCCCCTTTATAATTTCACTTGTTTGCTGGCCTCGGCTACGCCTCAACTACCAAACTGCAGACATGCGTATAATACGCAGTTTTTCGTCCTTGGTACATCAATAACTACCGGGTGACTGTTAATAAATTTGATTTTTTTTAACAGGTTGGCAAACTATTTAAAATTTTATAATGACAAAACTGATTTTCAAAGAAACATAAGTATATAGCAGCTACCATCATCTTAACCAATCAACACATTTGTTACGTGTGCCCATGTCAAAATTGACAACTGTAAACTAAGGTACTAGCATTTTTTGCCAAAAATTTGCTTCTAATTAACTATTGATATCGACTAAATTCAAATACATATTATCGATTCATCAAAACGTCCAAATGCCTTATTTATTTCATCTTGCGTCATAAAATAATTGGTATGTTCAAACTGTAATATATCGCATAAAACCAAAGTAAATATCATATATTTTGGTACAGAAACTCACTTCTTTCGAAAAAGCTTCCCTTACTTTTCCATCCTTTTCTTCACGAATCTGCTTCTTTTGATGTGTATGTTCTTTGGTACTTTCTTTAATTTGCTGATTATTCCAAAATGCTAAAAGTTGTTTGAATGAACTACCTTCTGTTTGTATTGGATCTGTCGGCTGACAAAGTATTTAATTAGTGACATTTACATATTTATTTATGTATCCTAAAAATGTATGTAATTAACGAAATAATTTTATCTACTCTTAAACGCACATTTAAACATTTTTTTGCGAAGACCATGTAAATTAAAATAGCATCAATTGTTAATCACAGAGCGCTTTGGGTCTATAAAGACAGCAGTAGTCTCATACTTGGTCGAAAAATACTTTCTTTCGCATAATTTGGAAGAAAAAAAATGGAGTTTTTTTATGTTTTTTACTCTAAAATTTTATAGATTTAGTACACTTCTGCAGGGGCAAACACCATTAGATGCGTTTATCTTGAACTCCGCAGTCAAGTTAGGTATTTATTTTTTTAAAGTTGTAATAAATCTAAACAAACATTTGTTCTTTGCTGGCCCAAAGATACAATACCTTTTTTGAGGAACATGCATTCTCTTCAGATTGCGAAGTATTCATCTCTTCTAAATGTTTTCTTCGTGTTCTATTTTCTTCTTTCCGTTTTAAATTTTCTTTTAATTTTATAATTTCTTTTTTTAAATTTATAATTTCTTCTTCTTCAGAACTCAAGTCCATGATGACGTTGAATGTGTTTGCTGAAAAAAAAATTAAAAATTATAAGTACTAATTAAAAAACATCTCTCGCTGTCAGAACACTGATACTGGTATATGTGTCAGTTTTGGACAATAAAACTAAAGAATGGAAGCTCTATTATATTAGCGCATTATTTTTGGAGAAGAGGAAAGAATGTTGTTCGGACAAAAATCTGCTCTATAACAGTTAAAATTCGTAACCTGGGAACGATAGTATTATCTTAAAAAAGAAAATTTTATGTCTATCTACTATCAAATTCAAATCTAAAATTTAAAGTATTCCAGCAATTACTACCAAACATTTAATGTAATTTTGAAAAGCACTTTAATGCCCATATAGTTAAAATTAAAAAAAAATTGGTTTTTTCCTTGCATTTATTTTATACTAACAAAACTGAGGACAGGATAGTAGCCACTACTGTCAACCTCCGACAGCACATATACTTAAAAACTGTTGCAAAATTCAGCTTTTGTCTTTGAGTACTGGCATTTCTGTCATATGTCTAACTATAGTACATAGAATATTCACAAAAAAAATGGTCTAAAGTTATTTAAACAGAACTTTAAATATAGCTTCTTCCAAAAATTATAAAATGTAATTTTGTGAATTAGACTATTATTTAATGATATCCTCTATAAAGTTAAAATAAAGACATGTGTGTGGATTGTTAAACTACAGGTAAATAAACATCGAATACGTATGTTTCAAGCGAATTTTTTCCTAACAAAATCTTGTGATAACGTCACCAACATGTTAGCAAAGGCACATATAATTTGAACTTGTGCAACGTAATACTAATAATAATAACCCTGTATAATAAAAGATTGGGAAACATGGGATTCATTATTTCCAACTCACCCTGTATAAGTAATTTTAAAGCTTGCGATTGCCTTAAAACCAGTGCAAGATTTCAATTTAAAAAATGTTGTTATTGTGTAATTTTGTTTTTTTTTAAATCTGGATGTCTCGGGTAAAAAGTCAAGATTTATATCATTATATCAGGATTTGCTCCTGTCTTCAATCTTATGAATGATGATTTTAGTGGAAAAGTGTGGATGTATACGGCTTATCACTTAAAAAAAATTTTTGAAAAAACTGTAGTCAAATGGGATACCAATTTCATTAAATAATAATAAATTCAAACCGTTGCAGAAGCTCAATTAGATGTTTGATTGCGATTAAATTTTTAACACGACGTTAAAATACCACGTGACCGACTGTACGCCAATCAGACGTCGCTAAACTCCTCGTTAAATGCGTGATTAACTTTAACTTTAATTTTTAACTGATTGTTTATTAAAAATCCGTCATTCATTTCTGATATATATCCACTTAATTCGCAAACGTTATATAAAGAAATACCAAAAATAATCTAAATTTACTGTTTTCTTAATGCACTATCGTAGTTTCAAAGCCTAGCTGTCTACCAATTCTGGTTGTCTGCAAGAAAATTATACTTAATTATATCTAATTTTGATGCTTCTATTTTAATAATAATATTTACTGATTTCAACAGGAAGAAATCCTAATTACAGAAACCAAATAAACTTAAAATATCTATAATACAAACAAAATCGAGAAATGAGCAGTTTTTTATTTGTTAGCCAAAAGTAATAATATTAAATTTTCAAATGGAGAATCACAGCCCGCGTATAGGTACATGTAATTTTTCTGGTTTAAAATATACAATTTAACTTTGCAGTTAAAAATGTAACAAATAGCTTTATTAGTTTCATTATTTAATATTTGCAAATTAATGCAAATTTTCAAAAAAAAAAAATCTCACCAACGTTGTTCCTTGTGTAACTTTACGTAAAATTTGGTCAAATGTTCGATTAACACTAGTTGTGTAAGTTACTATTTCCATATCCTTAGCACATGTTTCTTGCGAAGGTCACATCTCGTCGCCCGAGAACTTGTTTGATCTACAGACCACAGCGCGCTCAGGCAACTGTCGACTCTATAAGCGTTCACAAGCGATTTGGTTGATTTGGACAATAATTTCTACGTGAAATAGTTGTTCGGTCGGATTTTATAACGAATAAGTGAACATTTTTGGTATATATTTAGATGGTTTTATTTACAAATATAATATCACATGTTACATATTTCACTCACTTGACATGCAACTATTTTTTTGTTTAAGTCGAAGTAAAAAAATTGGGATACTGAAATTGGCCAAAATCGAAACAATGAAAAGTTAAAAGATAAAAAATTGCAAATTCAAAAATCTAAAAGCGAAAAAATAAACAAAAACGAAAAAACAGAAAAGTAGAAAACTGAGAAACCGAAGCAGTCCAAAATAAACAAATCGAAAAGGTACAAATTGAAAAACTGATAAATCGAGAAAGTTCAACAATCAAAATATCAAAACAACCAAATCTCGATAAATCGCTAAATCAAAACTTTGAAAAATCGAAAAATTTTAAAAATGAAAAATTTAAAAATCGAAATTTTGAAAAAATCTAAAAATTGAAAAATAGAAAATCTAAAACCATAAAGTCAAAAGATCAAAAGATTAAGAAATGTAAGCAATTGAAACATTCGAAAACTTGAAAAATTGAAATATCGAAGAACTGAGAATCTAAAAAATTGAATAACTAAGAAATCGAAAAATCAAAAAAGTATAGTCTAAACATCGAAACTTAGAAAATCGAAAAATTGAAAAATCAGAAACTTGAAAAATCGAAAAATTGGAGAATTGAAAAACTGGAAAATCCAAACAGTCGAATGTCAATTAATAAGAAAATCAAAACATCGATTAATTGAAAAATCGAAAAATTGAGAGTTTATAAAAGTCAAATTTGAAAAATTGAAAAGTCGAAAATTTGAAAACACGAAAAATTCGTAAACAGGAAATCTAAAACCGGGAAGTCGAATAATCGAAGAATTGAAATGAAAAATCGAAAATGGAAAAATCTAAAATTTTAAAAATTGAAAAATTAAAATGTCAACAGTTTGAAAAATGTAAAATTTAAAAATCGAACAATTGAAAAATCGAAAAAGTGAAAAAATCGACACATCGAAAAATCCATAAGTCAGAAATCGAGAAGTCGAAGAATCCAAATATTGAAAAATGAAAGAAAAACAGCATAATGGAAAAACTGAAAAATCCCAAAACTGAAATATCCAAAAATTAAGAATCTAAAAAACTGAAAAATTGAGAAACCGAAAAATCAAAAAATGAGGTCGAAAAATCGAAGCTTAAAAAAATCCAAAAATTGAAAAATCAAAAACCCGAAAAGTCGAAAAATTGAAGAATTGAAGAATTGAAAAATCGAAACAGTTGAAAATCAAGTAATGGGAAAAATCATGAAAAATAAAAGATCGATTATCTGAAAAATCGAAAAATTGAAAGTTTGTAGATGTCAAAATTGAAAAATTCAAAAATCGAACATTTGAAAAAACGAAAAATTCAAAAACAGAAAATCTGGAACAGAGAAATCGAAAAATCTAAAATTTTAAAAACTGAAATATCTAAATATCAAAAAATTGAAAAATGTAAAATTTAAAAATCGAAAAATTGAAAAATCGAGGAAGTAAAAAAATATCGATACATCCAAAAATCCAAAGTCAACAATCGAAAAGACGAAGAATCGAAAAATCCCGAAACTGAAATATTGAAATACTGAACAATGAAAGAAAAACTGAAGAATAGAAAAACTGAAAAACCAAAACTGAAATATCCAAAAACTAAGAATCCAAAAAAATTGAGAAATCGAAAAACTGAAACCTTAAAAAAAATTGAGAAGTTGAAAAATCAAAAACCTGAAAAATCGAAAAAATAAATAATTGGAGAACTGGAAAATCGAAATACTCGAATGTCAAGAAATAGGAAAATGGAAACATCGATTAATTGCAAAATCGAAAAATCCTAGAATTGAAAAGGAGAAAAATTGAAAAAACGTAAAACTGAAAATTAAAAAATTGTAAAATCCAAAAATTGAAAAATAAATAAACTGAAAAACGCCAAAACTAAAATTTCGAAAAACTGAGAATTCGAACGTTGAAAAGCCGAAAAATCTCAATGTCGAAGATAAAAATTCAACGTGGATTCTTAAACAACAAATTCGAGACTATGTTACTTTTTAATATTTAAAGTAGTTGTCAAGTTATTTTATGTTATTATAAAATGCATGAACATAACTGAACAATTAGTTTTTCCGTAAAAATTATGGTCGAAACCGGTTAGGATGTGCATCAGATCACGGAATATGGCTTATAGATGAAATCGTTTCTGAACGCTTATTAGAGTCGACATTAGCCTGAGGACGCTGTGGTCTGTTGATCAAACAAGTTCTCAGGCGACGAATTTAATACTTCCGGTACCATAAAAAAAGATAATACAACTCGAGTTTTGGTTAAAAGAGTCGGGGGAATTCCGTCAGCAAAATGCCAACATAACCAAAATCTGTTTTTCAGCGTCAAACATCAAAGAACAAATTTCACTGGACAGTTGGCTACCTACGTCTTAAAATAATTAAAATATCTATTTACAGACAAGAGCAAGTTGTCTCTTGCTTTTCTAGAGAGAGCTTTGATGCCCTCCTACTACTTTATGTTTGAGTTCTCTTCCTGTACCATTTACTTTGTGCTGGGTTTTCGTAAATTAAGTTGAAAAGTGTAAAAGTGTTTTAAAAATTGCTTATTATCTAGTATTTTGTGCGATTTTTAAAAATACTTAAAGTCAAGTCGTCTTTAAAGAACAAGTTGAGGGAACGAACGAAAAACACATACGTTTTTCAAATAAAAAACGGCGAATTGTTCTATAAAGCCTCTAAGAGAATTGTAAGTGTAAATTCCTAATGTTGCACAATTCAGTGTGATGTTGAGAGATCTTTCTCTAGACAAAAAAATGTCTTAACAGACAAAAAAAAAATTTTTCTACAGAAAATTTTGTAAAACATCTAATTTGTTATGCAAATATTAACTATTTAGGATTAGAATCGCTGATTATGTGAAATAATAACATAAATACAGGGTTAGTATAAAGTGCCGGAAAGGTCGAATAGCTTAGTTATTTTAAAAGTTCTTTTTCTTAAATTTGCTTTGGATATATATGTGGTTGACTTTGATTTTTTTTTATTTTTTCGAATCCGTATAAATAAGTATGTCGATAATTTCTGAAATTGGTTTTTTATTCTGCACCAAAAAATATCAATAAATCTGGGTGTTCCATTAAAACAAAAAGAAATTAGGCGTTCTTGTGTGTGAAACCGAAAGCGATAAAAAAAGACAAAATATTGTAATCAAGGCGCCATGTTTAACTATACATCCACACCAAATTTCAAAATTATAGATCTGAAAGAGAACCAGACGTTGCGTAGAATTTGTTTTTCCTAAAACTTGCCCTAAAGCGCCTATTTTGCCATTTTCCTGTCTAAACCCACAATTGTTATCGCTTTTGCCTTTTTTTTTTTAAGTCTAAAATTCGCTCTTTATTTATAAGAAGTACCATTAGAATACAAATTTGGAGATCTACCCGAGGTAGAAATGCAAGTTTTAAGTCTGAAGTGTTGTACTGTACATATTATTGATTCTGAAAGTGTAAATATCAAAGCTTCTTCTGGTTTAAGCATACGTCAGCCTTATCTCTTTTTTTTTTTACTCAAGCATCTGAAGAACCTTTCGTGAGCCCAATAGGCGCTAGCCTCCGCTCAAAGAATAATAATAATAATAATAATAATAATAATAATATTGATAGAAGCAATGCAAGTTATAATAAATTCGTTAATGATTATTACGTACAATAAAAAATACGCGTAAGTAAATTCTAACTGTAATTTTCAACTTACCCGTCAGGAAGTTCACTTATTTTTGAAATTTATAATCACAAGAACTTTTGTTAAATATGTTTACAATTAACGTATTACTTTATTATGGTAAACTTTTAAGTCATCCGTATTACAATAATCAGCTTTTTTTTTTTAATGTTGTCCTTATATACTATATTCTAAAGGTGGGGTTAGCATATCTGATAAGTTTGTGTTATCAAGAGAAAGACCTTCAAGATCTGGAAACTCTAAAACCTGATAAATGACTAATTTAATGTTTTCTCCATGGTTTTTTTCCATTTTTCATACGTACGCAGATTTAGATTTATTAACGAAAGTAGCAATAAAGAAAAATAAAATAAAGCAAACAAGAGATCAAGTAGTAATATGTAATTTATGGCGGGGCGAATAGCTATAATATTAATTTAACACAAAAAATAATCTTCCCAAATTAATTTTTGTTATTACTGATAACTACGGCGTACTAACTTCAGGTGTTTGTGGACGAAATACCATTGGATGATTATGAAGTATAGCTCAATGTACTTGCATGCTTAAATGAGAGTGAGTTTCTTTTAGTTTTTTGTTTAAACGTCGTAATAAATCAATAAACACGTCATCCACTGTTATATTGGACATAATTTACATTTTAATTTCATCGCTTTTTGGTTACATACTACAAGTAAATACTTATTCTAAAACCTAGATTTAAGACAACGATAAACATGAATTGTTTATTGGCGCCTTGGTTGAAAAATTTGCAACCAAATCAAGAGATTTTATCTTATTTAAGTAATAAGTCATATTTATCTACTTGTTTCCATTTGCGTCATATAGCGACGATATGATCTATTTTCCAGGAATTGGTTTCTCAATTCATTCATATTCAGAACAGTACAGAAATAAAACAACATTGGCAGTCAAATAGCAAATACTAATTACATGCTAAAACTTTTTGTACATCTTCTCCTGATATTTTTTAATTAAAAAAATTGGTGCGGCCGTGATGATTTCGAAATAAAAGAAGTGGACTGTATTTTTGTATTTTATTGTCCACACAGCTGGACTGCTACCTAACGAATGACAAAAAGAATTTTATACAAAATAAGAGAGGGGACTTGTCCGTCCACCCCTTATGGCACGAGCCACCACAGATAGATGTGGCCGCCAAGGTCCGCCGCCGACAAAAGCAAGCCGCCACAAGGTGCGGCCGCCGGATTGCTGCTGCCCGACAAAGAGTGCCGCCGACAGGGAAGCTGTCGGTGACACAAGCCGTACCAAAAATAATCGCCGGAAAGTTGTCACCATTTTGTCGGAAATTTATTGGTGTTTTTGACGGCTGGCACAGAAACCGAAATTAAACAGAAACCCTTATGTAACAAATCGCACAAGTTCAAAGACATTGTTCTCCAACATGATTATTACCTCATCGACGTCAGTGAAACATGTTTAAGCTTTTCTTAAATTTGAAATTTAATTTTTTTTTTAAGACGAAACCTTTAACAGCTCTGTTGAGTACTTATTGATTAAACTTAAGATAAACTCAAAGGAAATTCACGTAGGTACTTTGTACAGACCACCTGATACTAATTTTAACAATCTAAATTTGCTAATTTGTCATATCTTGTTTGGCACATCACGTAAAGTTTCAGGCATCAACGAAAAAATAGAGTATGTACACAAGGTTAACAATCTTGAGGTTATATTCGATTCTGAATTCACATTTTCGTCCCATGTGCCTCATATCTGTAGAGAGTGTTATTTAAAATTTAGGCAACTTATTACTCATAAAAATATTCTAAATGAAAAAACTAAACTTTTACTTATAAATTCGTTGATTTTATAATATACCTCCGCACTTCCAAGAAGTTTTCAAAGTTAATGCTTGGTGTGGAATTGATGGTAACCTCGTTATTGGTCCATGCATCTAAATTTTTTGAAGAATATTTTACCTCAACTGTTGGAAAACTTAAAGCTGGACATACGAAGAATAATTTGGTTTCAAAATGATGGCGCTCCCGCTCATTATCAGAGAGACGTTAGGAAGTATTTACACAGAGCGTTTGAATCAAGACTTATTGTTAGAAAAGAAGAGTACGCTTGGCTTGCACGGAGCCCTAATCTAAATCCATTAGATTTTTTTCTTTGGGGGAAGGTGAAAAATGACGTTTATAGTGTCCCAATCGAAAATCAAAACCACTTACGTGAAAGGATAATAGCATCATGCAGATCTATAACTCCCGATTTGTGAGATAGAGATGGTAGAAATTTTGAATGTAGGATAAGACTTTGTGAAAATAGGGGAAGAAGGCGTTTTTAACATTTATTATAAATTCGTTTTCATTGTAATATGATCCACTAATAAATTGAGTATTTATTTTTCAATTTTGTCATTATTTGACATTGATATCTTTGTCATTTTTTTTCTGTGATTGCTATTTTTGCTTATTAAAAAAAATAACTTGGACGAAGTCGTCTCTGGGGTGTATAATATGTTGCCTATGCAAAAATTGTCAGGCTTGAACAGATAAAATGAACATCCTGTATATATTTCTAAAACTAATCCGAGAATGACGTCTACAATATGGAGTAGCTTAACTCCTATCTCTAAATCATGGAGCTCTGAGCCCCAGTTCAAAAAGACGAACTGTTCAAAATTTACTATGACCATCTATTATATCTTTCACTAATTCCATTTTTAATTACATGGTCATTAGCTTCGATGTTGGTAATAATTGCCATGAAGATTACCTTTATCATAATGAATCTTTTTCTCTTGAACCTCGAGTTTATTTAGAGGCTAGAGAAGACTCCCTAATCACCAACGATAATTGCCAACTAATAAAAGTTTACAGTAACATTAGTAATCGTGTTAGGAATCAACCGAATACGTAACTATAAATTATAGAAATTTTAGCACACCTTTCAATGTTAAATTAGAAGGAAGCGATTTGTTTAAATTGAATAGAACAGGCACTACCTTTACTAGTCAGTCTGTGTTAGAACCACATGAAAGTTTATATTCTACTGTCCATTCAAATTATTTACCGTCTTTTAATTTAAATTCAGATATATGTTTAAATAAGTCAAAACTTGTTAACGATACTGATTTCTCATTGTATGTCACAACACTGTAGAAGATTCATGACTATCATCAGTTAAACTTAGCTAATAAAAGTCTTAAAGAAGTGACATCCCTTATCGAAGAGAACGAAAGAAATGCTGTCCACTCATCCACACTAACCCATTATTCATTTCTATTTTATATGTTTATCATCCTAATACCATTTTATATCATATACAGGGTGCCGCATCCAAATCTGAAGCAATCCAGCAATATTGTCTTCAGATTTCAACTCAAATGCTAATCAACACGCGTAGGAATTTTGAAGATCGGCTTACTTACTGTATAGCTGCAGACAGCAGTCTTTTTGAGCAATTCTTGAAAATAGTGGCAATACTTCTCCAGATTCGTACAATATTTCATTACTTCATTCATCAATAATTGTTAAGTTTTGTTATTATAATAATAATACTTTATTTACCTTCAGAAAATATTATACAGAAAAATAGAAAATATTTAAGAAGGGATTGTCAAAATAAAATAACACTACAAACACATAGCACCAAAATAGTGCAAAAAATACAAGATGGTTTCTACATATTACACGATAACATGTACCTACTTACAATGAACTAATAGACGCTACACGCTTTCTTAAAAAAGTCATTAAAATCATAAAAATTTCTATCCAAAAGAAATATTTTTAATTTAGCCTTGAACGTACGCAAATTAGGTGCATCTTTTATTTCATAGTCCAAGTTGTTAAAAAAATTGCAACAATTGAAATGTAAACTTCTTTGAAAGTGGGCTGTTTTGTGTTGAGTTGGCAATAACAACTTCTTGTGTCTAGTATTGTACTCATGATCTGTTCGAGTTTGACTGAACTTGTTAATATTTTTATATGTTTAACATAACATCTCATAGATATATATGTTTGGTAATGTTAAGATTCTGTGCTGTTTAAAGGCGGATCTACAAGAGTGCATACTTTTAATTCCGGCTAAGATTCTAATTGCCCATTTCTGTAAAATAAAAACTCGTTGAAAGTCAGGAGAGTGCCCCCAATGAATAATGCCGTATGTTAGAAGACTTTGGAAGCAAGCAAAGTATAGTTGTTTTACTGTAGAATAATTACACTGTCTGGCTACATTCTTGAGTGCATAACAAACCGAAGATAATTTCGAGCATAATTGATCTATATAAAGATTCCATTTTAAATGATTGTCAAAAACGACTCCTAATAGTTTGATGGAGTTGGAGCACTTAACAAGCGTCTTATTTAAATTTAGCGTAATATTCTGAAAGTTTGTCATGTTAGTAAAAATTGTAAAGGCAAGTTTTTGATTGTTTATCCATAGTTTGTTTTTACTGACCCATTGTTGCACTAGAGAGAATACCTCCTGTGCCCTTCTAGTAATGGCATTAACGTCTGTTCCAGTAATAATGAAGTTGGTATCGTCAGCGTAGGACATAACGGTGCAATTTGACGTCTTTTTTACCAATTTTAATAAGTCATTAATAAAAATTATGAACAGAGTCGGTCCGAGAATTGATCCTTGAGGTACCCCGATAGTGACAGTCGATTCTCTAGAAAGAGTGCTATTTACAAGCACTTTTTGAGTTCTGTCTGATAGATATGATTGGAACCACTGTAAGGCTGTACCCCTTATCCCATAGCGTTCTAATTTGTGAAGCAGTAACTCATGACTTACGCAGTCGAAGGTCTTTGTAAAATCTACAAACAATCCGAGGCAAGAGATATTTTTGTCCATACACTGGGATATTTGGCTAAGGTAATCTGCCAGTGCAGTGTCTAAGCTTTTGCCTTTTGTAAAACCATGTTGGGAGGGATCACTTATTTCGTATTTATTTAAAAATGACACAAGATTGTTGTTTATCACATGTTCAAAAATTTTTGATATACTAGGTAAAATGCTAATCGGTCTATAAGTAGAGACTACGTGACGATCAT